TGAACAACTGTTCCTCTTGTGTGTTAAGTTTTTTTTCAAATATAATGTATAAATATTAAGCAATCTTATATTTTAAACTATTTTTGATATTACTAAATTATCTTTAAAAATGCAATAATAATTGACCATAGATTATGTCAGTTATAAGAAGCTCTGCCCTTGTGTTAACTAGGTCTTCACACGCTTATTATTATGCATAATGCTATTAAATTTTATAATATTTTTTAACATCATATGTTATACTTTTAATTTTCCAGGTCACAAATATCATAACCGTAAAGAATTTTTAGCAGACATAAATTTAATCTTTGAAAACAGTGTAGCATATAATGGCGAAGATTCAGAGTTTACACAACAAGCAAAAAAATTGATAAGTGTTGCCACAGAATCATTAGAAGAGGTAAACAATTAAAACTATGAATATTGTTAAGGAAAAATCTTATTCCATATAAATTTCAGTTTGATCAATACTTAACGCAAGTGGAACAAAATATCAGTTTAGTTCAGGCCCGAGCTCTGGAACAAGTTGATATGGATTCTGCTGCAGAAGATGATTATTCAGACATGCAAGATGTCGAGGATGTATGTTTTGTTAACTTATTACTTTGTATATATTTGCATAAGACAAAATTAATTTGTATTAGCCATTTCAACAATTTTCTGTTCGCGTATAAAGTATAAAAATATTTTTTAGAACTTAAATTCACCGAGAGAACACAAAGTGAACATTGAAGACATAGAATTCCAAATGGATCCAGACAGCAATTTCAAAACGGAAACTAATCATATATTAGAAGACGGTAATTTGTTTAATATATAATATATATAGGTATATTAATGATTTTTAATTTTGTCATGGCTTGTTTTTAGACTTGCATTGTTCGAGTGAAGAAGATGATTTCATGGAAGTTGTTGGAGAAAATCCGCCAGATGACGACAGTCAACAAGTAGCAGAAGCCATGGTTTTGCTCGGTAACATGGGATACAATCCTGCTCCTGAAACTTTCTCCAACCAAATCCAAGGTGAAATATGAATATCATAAAAATCTAACAGCATATAATTTTTGTTTTTTTAATAGCCGACGAAAGTATGGACCTCGATCCAAATTATGATCCTTCAGACTTTCTACCTACCGGTAGTCGAAATCTAGACACAAGTGATGAAAAAGATCTCGCGGAGTCAAGTAATAAAAATCATGCCAGCGCAAATATCCAAGACGATTTGGAAATCAGCGATTCAGATGAAGACAGTCCTCATGATGACAGTTTAGACATTAAAACTGAAGGTGATTTAGGAGAACTCTGGTTTTAAGTAATCACTATTTATTAATTGTTTAAAATGTATTTATAAAATAAATGTATTTGTAAATTTAATATATTTTCATAGTTTATATATGGTTCTTTTTCTGTACCAAATGTTAGTACTTACTGTCTTATACAAACTGAACATGTTATTTATTGGCTTATTTTTATAATAAAAAAAAGGACTTTATTATAATGAACAGAAAATATATTTTTGATAATTCTACGAAATGAAAGACATAATATTCTCAGCTGGTGAACAAATGAACTAACCTAGTGATAATTTATTTGAAGTAATGAAATAAATAGTCTGAAATTAGTCTAGTAAGTCTACCACAGCAATAGTGTTAGACTGATTAATTATAAATATTTTAATCTTACCATTTTGGTCAGCTATTCATTTATTTTTAAATACTAATTAATGCCAAACAGTTACGATATTTTTAGTACCAATTTAAAACGTCATTAAATATTACATATTATAATATATTTAATTAACAAAAACAATAATAGTCCAGCAAATTTAAAGATTAGTTAAGTACACTCTATACAAGGTAGTAAAATTGATTACTATCTAATATCCAAAATGCAGTTGGTTAATGGGACCATTAACTATTAATAAATAATTTAAACTAAATTAAATATATAAACACAATATTCTAAGTACAGTAATAATTAATATACTTAATTAGAAACAAATTATTTAACGTTAGACAAAATGTAATATTTAATTTCATAATATAGGTTTAAGATGTATTGTACATTGTAATTTATTCTACATGTGTGATGTTTGAAAACGCTATTTAATAATAAATAATAAATCATCTAAAACAATTTATTTAATTGCACATAAAATAATATAATTATTTACAAAATAATTTGGTACAACAAAATAAATATAATAAAATGTCATAAGTCATAATACATAAAGATAAGCGCGAGTTGTTTTTAAATAATAAATCACAGTACAAAAACATTCTCTAATTTCTATGATAAAATTTATTTGTTGTAATAAGATAATAGAAATGGAAACAATATAACAATAATTGATACAAAAACAATTTCAATGTATTAACTGATAAATAATAATTTATATGTATAAATAAACATACTATATAGAAGAAATAATAATAAAAATGGATAGCATAACAAATAATAAATTTGTTGAAAATTTCTAAATCGCTCAGTTAAAGGTAACATTTCAGCTATAATTTTCAAAAATAAAGATGTGCAGACTGAAAACATAAGTTAGTTAACTATATAATCTAAAAATATCAAAATGGTTATAAGTATACATTTATCATTAAAATTAAATCGTATATAGAACAAATACTGTTAGATAATATTTGAATAGATTATAAATTTAATTCTTAATTAACTTAAAAGTATGTAAATATAATAATTATTATGTTATAATTTCAAGATTCTGTTGTACATTTTGAGCAACATGTTTAAATCTTAAATAATAGAGAATCTATGATTGGATATTGATAACAGGAAGGCACGCGCCCAAACCCAAGAATATTAAATATTTTTTTTTAGTTAAACTGTAAACGTTAATTGAATAGATTAATATTTAACAATTTTTGATTTAAGTTTGGCACACATAATGTCTTAAAAAATAGACAAATAACATTAATATAGTGTAGTTAAACATTTTAATTAACAGTTAAAAAATAATAAATCTTAAATATTATAATTATTATCTAAAGTTGAAATTTAAATATAAATTGTTTGTCATCACTTAATGCCATACAATAAATTAAATAATAACAATTGTTGTACAAATCTAGTTTTTAGTACACTAAGTATACAATTAGTATTTAGTAATAAAATAATATAATAATTTTTATAACTATGAATTATTTGTTATTGTTATTTTATATGATACACAGTCAATTATTACCAAAAAAGTTGTTTACAGGAAAGAAAAATAATAATTGTCTCAAAATTAAATTGAATTGATTTTTTGATTAGAATTTAGGCGCTAACAATTCTGAAAGAATATTCTATAAGCATATAAGTACACAATGCAGATCAGGAATTCTAATTTAAATTAATAAGATCGTATGATGTATATTTTAAAAGTAAATAGAGATAAAATATATCGTTTTGGTATTATATAATTAGAATATTTAGGATTTATAGGAATATTGTTGTTTTGTTGTTGTTTGAATCAGTCAAATTTTTATATTATAATTCTCAATAGCTTTTATTATAGCTATAAAACATATTTTTTCAATTCCAAAATATTTTTTCCAAGATTATTAAACAATACCACTTGAGATCGCATCCCTACCTAATGGATGTTGAACCGTACAAAATTATTGTTAAATAAGCATTAAATGAATATATAACTGACAACTGTTAAAACAAAAAATTAAGCAATTGTAATCAGCCTTCTCAGCTAAGCTTCAATAACTGATTTATGTATAGTCTAACAATCAAGGTATTCAAATTAAATAACTTTTTAAAAAAAATTGTTATTAATCAAAATTAAATTTTACACAATTTGATTGTAATTAGTTTCCAGACAATACTATCTCATTTGGCGTAATAGAAACAATATATTTAAAATTCATGATAATTATATTATTATGCAGTATTTAAATTGATCGAATGTAATACATTTAGAATTTATTAGTTCATCTTGGTAAATAAAATGCAGTGTAGTATAAATATTAAAATATTTTCCTTATAGGTTAGAGTTGTACGTTATGATGTTTACTCGAAAAATGAATACTGTATTGCACGAATCCAAGAACAATTAATAATATTTATATAGATCAAACAAATTATTTTTCTTTTTAAGGTCCTAAATTTGCTGTTAAATTTTTAAAAGCTTAAGCAAATAATATTTTTATAACAATGCAACTTGTAGATCTTTTTGTACCTAATGGTGGTGTTCTAGGAGACAATACAATTTATATAGTGACAACCAGACTTATGAATACATTAAAATGTAAATTTGTGTTCAATACTAAAATAACAATCACTGTTAAAGAATTTTAATTTTAATATTTAAAAATTAATAATTATGCTTCTATAATTCAATGTTAATATAAATAACAAGTATTCAATCATACTACAATTGAAACAGTTTAATGTTCAAAAAGTATTTAATGAATATAGTCAATTCAGCTCATTATTAAATAATTAATACAGTATTCACTGTTAAATCTGTTGTTTACTGAAAAATGTAGACCACCACATATTATACACAAAATTTTTAGAACCAAATTAACCATTATTGCTAATTTGCTTAATCTGAGAAAAACCTATTTGCCAATTTGTTCAGAATAAGAAGCAACTATTATATTTATTTTATTTTAACCTCAACAATTAAGCAAAAGAATGAGCATTAATTGTTTCTCTTTAAAATAAAACCTACAAAAATATAAATAATAATGATAGCGAGTTTTTCATATTTCAAAAATTATTTGCAGAGGTTCTAAGTACATTAGACAACAGTCTCAGTATAGGAACATTAAAAAGTTCAAACAATTTTGTTTGTCAATTCAAAAGATGAAAAAATCAATAAAAAAAAAAAAAAAAATGAAATGAAATAAAAATAATAATAAAATAGTATAACAACCATGGTAACCATTTAAGTTTGGCTTGATCCATAAGTACCTGCCGGAGGTCTGTACATTTGTGGTAAGGTAAAGTGTTGCAATCTGTTAAATGCATATTTTCTAACACCAGTATTTTTGTATGCATTTTCTCTCCTACACCCCTCACTGAAAAGTGAAAGACATAACATATTCAAATGGCATATTATGACAACTGTAAGTTTTTCTTATTTATTTTCATTATAATATAGAAACAATTAAATATACCTTCTCATACAATCTAATGCTTGCTGAATTTCACTTTCTGCAAGTCCATATTCCAAATTTAAGATAGAACACTGTTCTAATGTAACAGACATACCTGTTCGATCTTTAGCACTTTTACAACTAGTAAATCTTAAACCTAAAATTAAACAATGTAATCAGTTTGAATAATAAATTATATTGAAAGCGCAATACAATAAAAAATAATAAAAACATTAAGCAGGTATTAAATATAAAATAAAATCATAAAATTTTATTATAGATATTTTATGTTTTACCTTTTAAACGTCGACACACTATAGCTGCTGTTTGCAGTATTTCTACATTTTTACTCTTATTGCTATGTAATGCATCTTTTAAATTACTCATTAATTCTGCAACAGAAGTACCTTGCCGTTCACAATCACCATTATTGGATAAATTAAGTTTACGGTATCTTGAACAGAATTCGCTTAATCTTTCAAAATTGTCAATATTACTACTATCCTGTGGTTTTGTATTTCCAAGGTTTTCTGCAATAGTCGCCATTTCATTAATACCAATATTAAAAAAAACAGGTGTAACCCGAAATGGGGCAATATTTTTAGAAGGCAATAAAGACTGAATTAAATCAGGAACTGGTAATAAAACACACAAAGAATTCTTGGAACCCACAATCCGTGGCATAATTTCATCTTTTGGATTTTCTCTACAAAAAAATAATGATTGTCAAATAAATATTATTTTTATAATTGTATAAATATTACCTAACAGCTTGCGATAATGGTAATAAGGTGAAGTTCACGGTAGCTAGATCTTCAATGGCAACAGCCATATCACCCCACATATCGATTTCATTACCATAATAACTCAATAGGCATTCAAAAGAGGCTAAACAACCAATTGAAGACAACACATACAGAAATTCAGGTTCAGGTTTTTGACACCACAATCTTGCCATTAAACCACTAACCAAAGCAGTCAACTATAGAACAAAATTAAAACAAAAGTTAAAAATAAGTTTTTTTAAATGTAATTTAAATTATTTATTTTAATTACCGCTTGTGAAAAACAAACATGTCTCCGGTAACGAACATTGCATGACCTTTCAGCTGACCGTTTATCCTCTTGTACTCTGAAAACACTATGTGTAAGTCTAGCAGTTTTCAAAAGTCCATCCATAGCTTGACGAAGTTTACGCATGCTTGGTTTTAATTCAGAACCCCAATCAGTCATAAGATTAAAATCAAGTCCTTCTGTAAATTTATTTCTGGAAGGTGCGCTAAACACATGAAATATTATATTTATTTATTCAATAACTTAGTAAAATACAAATAATATATATAATCACTTGTTATTAGTTGTTTTTTGTGTTTCGTTATCAGCAGTTTGAGTGAACCTAGAATCTAAGCTCACAGGCTGATGAGAATTTGTTGTCTAAAAATATTTTACAGTTATTATAAATACTAAATAATATTAATACTTTTATTATATACAGTAAAACTCGCTTAAGACGCTCTCGCTTAAGACGCTTTCCCGCATAAGACGCTGTTTTTAGTCGGTCCCTAGACATTTTCTATACTAGTCAATGTAAAAATCACCTGTTAAGACGCTCAGTTTTTCTCTGTCTAATCGGGTAAAATGCTCTTTTTTTCAGCAGATTACGATAAATTTTAGTAGTTTTGTGAAAATAAAAATAGAATTTTTAGTACTATATGTGTTCTTATCGTTTTATTTTATCATTACTTATTATAACAGTTTTACTGTATTTCATCGTCTTATGAGATTTAGTAAGTGCTGTTCGTTTGCATGTGTATAAACGTAATTTCGTTATATATTATAATTAATTTATAAGTGTATTTCTCATTAAATTATGTTTAATAATAAAAAATAAACTCGATATTTCAACCACATCATTTTGTTTCATTCCCACATAAGACGCTTTCCCGCATAAGACGTTTTAGAGAGCTGGTCCCTTAAAGAGCGTCTTAAGCGAGTTTTACTGTATTACAGTATTATTCAATTATAAATAAACATTTTAGATTTTTATCTTATAGCAAAATATATATCAGGAGTCTTCAATTAATATTTTTGAAAGGCCACATTAAAAATCTGAAAATTTTTTCCAGACCATCAAAATTCTAAGTACATATTTTTAACATATAATAAGTATTTAAAATTGGATGTAATGAAATCATTATTTTTTTATGTATGTTATTTATCCTTTGTCTGCGGGCCAGATAAAATTTGTTCGAGGGTCTCTATTTGGTGACTTTTGATATATATTATAGACAAAATATTTTAATAAATTTAATATTATAGTAAACATAATATTTACAAATATTTTGTAAGGTAAAAATAATTTACCTGAATTGTTGATGAATTTGAACGAAAGCTACGACATCTTTGAGACCTTAACCTTACTGCTGGACTATTGCAACGGCCACATAAAAATTTAACTTTGCTCACAAGACACATAATACTAGCTTCAATATTCAACTGAGTAAGCTCCCAAGGTTCTGGTTCTTCAGTAGGCTTATAATAGTTAGCTGATGGTGAATTACACATGGAATAAGTGTCTAAAAATTGACCTGTTTTCATACCATTGCTGCTTTCATTTGGTAGTATATTTTCTTTTGAACCTAAAAATATTTAATTTAAATATCTTTTAATAACACTTAAATTCATAAAATGTAAGTGCAATGTTAAATTTGATTCAACAGCATACCAGAAGTATAGTTTATATTTTCTTGATTATTGTCCATTTCACCCTTAGATTCTGGAAATACAATAAATTGTTGTTGGTCTTCATTACTGCTTAATTCATGTTCTCCTTGAATTTCTTTTGAATCAAACTTCATCAAATTCTTCAAACATTTTGGGCTTTCAGGAGTATAAAAATCCTCAGTATCTGGTGATTGTAAATCAAAATTTATCTGACTTGCTATACGCTTAAATGGCGATACATGATAATTTGAAGGATGTTTCACAGATTCATTGTCATCAGACAAGACAGGTGTAACTTTATGTTCTTCAATAAAATTTAAAGCTTCTTCAACAAGCTTTGGATCCCAAAGGCTTAGCAAAATACGAGTCTACAAATTTATAATATGTTAAAATTATATATATATTATAACATATTCTAGTTATGTATGCATAATAAGATTAGCTATTTCATATATAATTAAATATATCAGATAGTAATGAATAATTAACAGCCGCTAATAAAGCTTAACATATTAAATAGTGCTTAACAGTAACGCCATCTGAAACACCTATGACAAATTTCTACATAATAATATTTCTATCAAACACTCCAAACCACCAGAAAAGTTTATTAACTCTCTTTTTCAACCTTTTTATAAGTAAATTTTTGAATCTCTCTTTATGCATGGTAGTTTGAAGCCTGTTATTTAGCAATTTCAAGCACGAAATGTGTACATCCACCCACCTTCTTAAATTACCTATGAAATTTGTTATAGTTGAACTATAAGATTGGCGCCACTGATGCTAAATATCAAACATTTTAACAATGACTTTTAAGTATAATTACTTTAGAAATCATATCATTACAAATTGGCATCATTCCTGAAGTTTGTTTGTCTTTAGCTAAATTTAACAAACTTTTCATCGCATCTACTACCTCTCGTCTTAGAAGTTTAATTGCTTGAATTGCATCAAATGCCATAGTAATTTTACTACTGGCCATAGCATGGTCATTTGTTTTAAGTGGTGCTTCTTTGAGTTGTTGTAATAGTCTAAAAAATATATACATATATATTACATACTAATAAAAACATAAATATTATATTTTCTTCAAAATCTATTTTACTTTATCAATCCTCCAGTTTTAGACTTATGTGAATGTGCAGTAAATGCACCAACTGTTATTGTATCATAGAATCCACTTTTTTTTAATGTATCATTTTGAACCCAAATACGTTGTAAATGTAAGTTTGTTGGAGCAAATTCTAAAGAACGATCGTTTTTACGTGAACTTGGTTTAAAATTAACCCCTAAAAAAAAATTATATTTAGATTTTTCATGAAAGAGAATATTTTGGAATAACATAATATTCATTTAATTATAACAAAGATAGTGTTATAGATATTATAAAGATAAATATGAATAAAATATATTTAAAATTATGATACTCATGCAGTATGCTACCTACTGCTACTTTGTTGATGTAATGTGCTACCTACCAAAAAATTAAACACATGTTTCATCATAAGATATCAAGTCCTCACACAAATAGGACATTGATTTATTCATTATGTGATTTTAATAAAAAAAAAAATACAAAGTAAAACTCGCAACGAAAAAACACATATGCGAATACAATATAAATTAAAATAATATATCTAAAACTAAGTCATTGTGATTTGTGGGTCTTGATGGGTATTTATCAGTTATCATAATGGCTAATTAGCTATAATTTTATACAACTATTAAATTTTATTCATCTTAATGACTCAAATGTATTTTCACGTAATAAAATAAAATGAAATAAAAATAATTATAGTAGGAATCATACTATGCACATACAGTTTTTTGGTAGGTAGGATAGCATACTACATGAGTCCTAAAGTTATTTATCTATAGTAATATCTTTAAAGCTTACAAATTAACTGAGTAATCAACAAAAAAATAAACTGTAAAACTTGTAATTTTCAATAATATTTAAATAAAATTAATATTTATCAAAGAAAGTATAAATTTACCCTTTTGATTTTCCAGATTTTGTTTGGCTTGAGAATACAAATGTAATAGTTGTAAATGTCGGTCAAGTAGTTCTACTTGTTTTGAATGCCATGGTTCAGATAATTCACCCATTCCTGAAACTTCTTGTAAAAGTTCTTTTTCTTCGAGAATCCATATGTTTCTATGTATGATATTGGTTAATTTTTTCACTTTTTGTATACTAACTTAGATGAGTAAATGCTTACAATAATTGTTGTGGTAAATAAAAGCATAACTTGCTTTCGGCCATTATTTCATAAACAGATATATCACCCCTCAGGCCAGAATGAAAACGATATGTCACAAACGATACATTATCAAATAATAAATACAGATAGTTCTGCAATGGAACACGTAATCTGGATCCAAGTCTTGGAGGTAATGATTGTGTTCTTCGATGATTTACCATCTATAATAATTAAAAAATATATCATAAATACATTACGATAACATTTTTTTAAACTAACTTACGGGAAAGTTATGATTGTTATACATTAATGATTTGCATGGTGTGGACTCTGTACTCATGTTATGTCCAATCTGTTTATCTGGACGACAAATCGTCATGGACACAAAACCAATAATTTTATCTAAATCCGATGTAATACTTGGCGATGATAATGGCAAACGGACACGTTGTCCATTGTTTCCTGAATGAGTAGTTTCTAACAATGAACAAAGTGTAGTTTCACAATGTCCCATTTTAACTGCAGTTCCAGAAATACATTCTCGGACATCATAGACCGATACCCGAAGAATACAATCTTCGGTTAATCCATCACTGCGCTGTAACCATATAGTTCTCAAAAATGTTGGATTACTATTATCGATGATAACTTCTGTATTAGCATAGTTTATCCAAACATTTTCACTTGGTATACAAATCGATACAACAATTGCTGGATTTGGAGAACGTCCATGTCCATCACATATCAGGTTATCACAAGAAAAACATATTTCGCATAATGGTACTTTTGTTAGATCTAAAACATATATATGGTCAGGTATAAAATATGATAATAAAAAAATAGAACTAGGTAGATAATGCATTTAAGTGTACCTAATTTAGGTTGATTTTTACGTAATCTCCACATATTAATATCTAAATCTGGTTTTCGTTTTTCTTCTAATTGCCTCCTTAAATTTAACAATCTCGCCCGCATGATTTCGTAGCTTGCTTGCTTTATGGCTTCTAACCAAGAATCTCTTTCTAACACTGTATGTGCAGCAATTTGTTGACAAATACCATTTTCAAATACTATTCATTTAAATTAATAATAATTATATTATGTACTTAAATAAATATAATATTTGAATTAAAAAATGTTACCTATTTGAAAACTAAATGGTCCTTCGGGTGGAGATTCATCTAATTGAACAGAATAATTTTGTAGAACAATAACACCTAGTAAATCTGATAGCTGATCATGAGACTTAAGATAAAATAGCAAATTTCCTCTTAAACGACACCAACGCTCAAAATTAGCTTAAAAAAAATAAAAAAATAAATTAGTATTTTTAATAGAAATTTTATTTTAAAATATTTAATTTGTAGTGGCTATTTAAATAAAATGTATGAAATCAAACATATTATGAATAGTACTATACAATATATTATGATGACATTTAACATTAAAAACAAAGATAAATATTATAGTAATATTATGAAATTAATTAAAGAAATGTATTGTTATTTTTTGATATTATTTAACTTAATAATCATCTATTTTTAACACTGATAATTAAAAATTAAAAACAAAATAATTTAACTAAAAATATGTGTTCATAGGTGTGTGCTCGCCGCTCGGGTGTAGTTGATTGAACTATAAACATGAAATGTATCTGAACATACTCAATGATTTTTTTTTTGTTACTTGCAGATGATGATTCCAAAAAGGATAGACATAATATAAAAATAATTTATTGAAGATAAATAAAAATGTATACAGAATTTCAGTGTATATTCAAATTTTAACATCATAAAAGAAAAAATGTCGAGTAGATAAACTAACTTAGATACCAAAAAATTCAGCATACTTTTATGTAAGCTTATATTCAATATTGTATAATATTTATAACATAATATATTATTTACTGAATATATTTAAATATGTAAAAATCATCCTCACCTGTAAAATGATTATAAAATAAGAAAGGCTTATTGATATTGTATTATTTGTATTTAGAATTATAAAAGAACAAAAACGAGAATTATTATATTAGTTACATTATTAATTTTACCTTGAGTTTTGACATAAAAAATTAACACTTATCAACATGCAGGGTTCAAAGATTATTTCAACATAAATGAACAATTAACTGTTAGGTTGGCTAGTAATGAGTTGCACATGGATATAATATCATGCAACAATACATAAGTTTCATGCTAAATATTAATGGACAACTAAATGTACAGACTGCTTATAATACAAAGATGGGAAAAACTGTTTTATAAACATTATAATAATATAGTTCATAATTTTCTTAAATATATTCAAATTTATTATTTAGCCATTAAAAGCCAACCACAAATCATAGAGTATTTAATTTAAATTTTTAATCAATGATAAAATTAAATAAATACATATGTACACATAGACATGAATGTTGTTTTATATAATTACTAAATTGATTAGTTTGATTAAATAAAACATTGAAATTAAATTTATTTTACTGCTATCTTTAATTTAGATTTGCATGCATTTAGCATAGTACACAAACTATACAAATGTTATTCTGCAATATTGTAAACCAGATTGGCTCAAATAAAATATAGGTGTACATTTTTATTATTCAACCATAAATAAATCACTTAACATAGGTACCTCATATTTTGTTTAAGTATCATATAATTATTTAATTATTCTAAATGCTAATTATCATATACCTTTATGTGATCCGCCATAACAGTTCAAATTGCTTTGACGTTCTCGCTTTTTGCTTCGTTTTGAATCTCTCTCTGAAATTGTTTAAATAAATCTAATAGTCTAATAATCAATTATGATTGAAAAATATAAGACCTCCAGTCTCTTAAACAAAACAAAAACAATTAATTCAAAATGCAATAATTAGATTTTCTTTTGTTAAATGCCAAAATAGCACAATTCACAATTTTATAAATCCACACTTAGAGTATAATTTCAAAAATTTTCATAATTATTTTCTCTTTTATAATTTGACTTAATTTATAAAATAGTTATCAAATTCTATTTTTATTTTTCCATAATAACCTCAATCATTAGAGTTCTGATTTATATTTTTTACTTTAAATCTGTGGGACCTATAATTAGGTATAATAATCTAAAAAAATGCAACAAATGAATTTTATGCATAATAATACATTTTAATTGCAAGATTAAATAATATCTTACTGTATATAGATAGATCATATCTATAATCATTTAAAAATTGCTCACTGCAGTTATTTATCAAAATTCAAAAACGTAGGTTCTTTAAATAAAATAAAGATTATAATCAGAAAAAAATACAAAACAATATACTCGATAAATTCACAATATTATATAAAAATATTGTGTTGATGTCAACTTTTTACTTATTCAATTTGTTTAAAAAAATGTCATTAGTTATTCATATTCAAAGCTTTCTCACAAACACAAATAATTAAAGTTGCTTACTGCATGAAATTTTTGAATGAAGTTACTACCCATTAGTGACACTTCTGCAATGTTCTAAAAAAACGGAATCTAAAATTATTTAGTGATAAAATAATTAATGAATTATATTGTTATCATATAACACAGATAATTTTACAGGCTTTAGCTATGAATGAATTATTATTAGTTGTAATGAACTTGATTACAGTAATACTAAACATTATTATCGGTCTTAACTCTATTTGCAGGTATTTATTACAGTCATATATCATAATAATAACACCGATAAAGGTACCAATAAATTACTCATAATTGTTTTGACGTATATTATCAGTTTTTTTTTAAAATTTTTCAAAATATGTTTATGAGGTTTTTATATTGTTAAAATAATTATATTAATTCCGGTTGTGTTAAATATTTTCAGTTATTTCAAAACTGGCCAATATGTTTTAATATACAATGTTATATGGTTTAAATTCAAGACCAATACAATTACAATGATATTAATTTAAAAGTACTAAAATGTATCATGCAAAATTTCAAACAATAATGAAGTTAAAACACACAATTCATACATAAACATGCCAAGCTGATGAAACTACGCCAATATTAAATATAACAATCTCTAGGGGTATATGAATGGTAAGTTATACTTTATTAAAATATTTTTTTTTTTATTTATACATTTCAAAGAGCCAATCAATACTCACTCTCAGTTCTTCTAAAAAACCCTTCTTGGCGTTCACGAACAAATAACAATCCTTCTTTATCAAATTTATTAGATGGTTGTTGTGCCAATGTGATCATCTCCTGTTTATTGAAACGCATTTCATTTGTTGGACCTAAAAATTTGGAGAGTCAAATGTTGTGCAAGAAAACCATCCTCGAATACTTACCAACAAACAAATCTATCAGGTAAATTGCATGTGAAAAACACAATAGTGAGCCATGTCTGTTATGTATCCACTTGTTTTTGACTTGCCTCTGTGAAAAACTGTGTAATTAACCAAAACCGTTTTCTATTTGCAGTTCCCACTAATGACATTTTTACTTCGAATGTTACGAAAATAATATTATGTTTAGAAACAGTAAAAATTGATCCGTGTAAGTAAAGACTAAATAATTAAAAAAATAAATTAAAATTTGAATAAGAAACTATTGAAATAAATATTATTATTTTCGTTTCAGATTATTAGTGAAACGATGAATATTATTTACTTTCATCTTGTGATAACGACCACAGCGTATGACGTTGATAACGAAGTTTCTCCTAGGTCCTAGGACATCAAGAAATTTAGATTTTCTCTTAATGTTTATTTTTGAAATAAAAACACGTCATCCACAGATTTCATATTTCAGAGATTTCCAAAAACCCATTTTCTATTCCCATAATCTTGTCATATAAAATGTAAAGTAAATACTTTTATATGTCAACATTAGGACATTTATGTCTATATGTACAATTTATGGTTTTACGCCTACGGGCTAAGGGCATGACCGACTTTAGTGACGTAGCTATAAATTCAGTGGTCAATAGTATGTCGATGTATACACAAATACCTGCAGATAAAAATGATAAAATTCACTTAAGATCAAATAGTGTACGTGATCCACCCCTTTTTACCTTTCAATAATGTACTTATTTAAATTTTGATTTTTAGGGTTATTAAGTATAGACAAAGATTGCGTTTTCAAAAATTCTTTAGTCATTATAAATTATAACTTTTTATATTCAAATAAGAACTACATTTTTACTGTAAAACATACATAGACAAAAGTTGTTAACAGTAAGTAGATGATTATGAATTTTAATTGAAATTTGGATAATAGATGTATAGAATACCTAATTTTTGAGCTATGAAACTTTATATTTTTTTAACTGCTTAACAAATAAGTAATAACTAATAACAGTAAAAAAAGGGTGGGTCTTATATGATAAAAACGATTTTGTAATGTCACAGGATATTACTTAAATATTATTTAAAATCGAACTATAATATATTTTCAAATTTTGTCTAAGAATACGTATAAGTCCTTAAAAATCTAAATCCAAATGAATACTATAAGGTAAAAAAAATTGGGATGACCGGTCGTTCACGCTTGCAGGACACAGGTAATGAACCATTTTTATAAAATGGAAAAGAAATCATTCACATACACTTGGTTTCATATTTTTTTTAAATATTTCTTAATTTATACGAAAATATTTTTTTAAGTATTTATTAGTTGTACATATTAAATTTTCATAAAGATATTAAGCCTTATTGTTTTAGTCTATTTGAATTAAGAAAACATTTAGAATATATATAATTCTATACTTAAGTTGTTCGAGAAAATGAAAATGTAATTAAATATCTTTAAATTATACTGATAAATGATTGTCACCTGTGATGTTTTTTGTATTGTGGAAAAGTGTTGAAATTTATATTTATAAAATCACCATGCTTCGAAATATTTTTAATATCTATATTGCTTAAAACGTATATTTTAGGTGTAAAATATTTAAATAAAAAAATAACAATTCATATTTAGCCACAAAAAATTATAAAAATTGAAACTGATAATTTTGTACAAAAAATATACAAACACCTTATATCCGAATACTTTTTTAATATTCTGAATATCAACATCATTTTACAATAAAGTATTTTAAATAATTTTTATGTTGTTTATTCGAACAGATATTCTGATTTCAAAGTAAAATTTTTTAATGAACTAAATAATATTGAATTTCACTAGGTATTACAAATTGGCACTTTTAATATAATTTATACCTCTAGATTCTATTTATAGAAATTATAAATATGATAGAGATACTAATGTACGGAAGCCAATTATATTAATACATGGTTTTATGTTCATATAGGATAGTTAAATTCATATAACCACTTTACTATATAGCAATTAGCAATCATTGAAGAATTAATAATGTAAGTTGACATAATAAGCATTCAAATATTTGGAAATTAATATTAGAAAAATTACATTTCTGAAGACCAAGTTAAATTTGCTGTAGTTATACTTTGAAACGTCTGAGTAGTAGAAAAGCTCTAAAAAAATCGTACACTGTAAAAAAATGTTGACAATATTGTAGGCAATTACAGCAAGGATAGCTAATAATTAAAAAATATATACTTTACACTACGACTTCCGAAAATATTAACTGTATTATTTCTCATACAACATCACAACTATCATCCCATGACCCATTTGACTAGTGAATGAACGAAGACTAAATACTACCATAGAACACTATGTTCTATGATACTACTCAGTAGTCAGTAGTCACTAGTCAATACTCATTAATAATTAAATCGTCAATTATTCGTAACATAAAAATAATCAAATGCGAAATATGATCGGTCGGATCGATAAAAACGACCACCAGTATCCCCACACGCCATATCATTACAAATTAAAATAAAAGTAAACCATTCAATATTTAAATATAAAAAATTACCGATACAAAATTGGTATACTTATTAGATTCCAAAGTTAAAATGGAATGGAAAAGTGTAATTTAATTGTTCAATTTTTTAATTTTATAAGCTACTGTATTTTATTTAAGTAAAACGTGTATCTATAGTGTATTTTTTCGGACTGCCACAGAATCATAAAAAATTACCGTTGTAAACGACCAATAGTATTATTTTAGTTAAATGTACATAGGTAGTCAACGGTATTTATTTATTTACAGAACAGACTAAGACACAAGATTTACGAGAATACATTTATTTTAAAGCATAATTTAAGAATAATTAGAAAAAAGCCAAATAAGGATTAAGGTTAGAGGCTTATAGAGATGCGTCAGTTATTAGGTCGAATGATGTGTCTTGCATCATTCAGGGAAATAAGTGGTTAGATAGGTGACGTGGTGTTAAACAATAGTAAGTAGTGCTGACTGCTGAGGCACTAAAGGTGTTCGAAGATTGTTACTTAAAATGTGGCTTGTTAAGTTGAGGAAACACTTTTTATGCCATTGAAATATTGTAATACCTACCTATTTATGACAAATGGACAGAATAGTTTATAATAAATATTTATACTTGTTTATAGGTATACACTATACACATGTATATTATTCATAATTAATTAAGCATTTGTGCAATTTTACAAGTGTACAATATAATTACTCTTACATATCTTTTTGTAAAGACTTAATAATTTTGTTCATTATATTAGGTTTTGCTGTATTATAGTTATTATACATTTATACCTACCACAAATTCCTGTTATTTTTACAATAATTTACTACTACCATTAGCCATTAGGTAGTCCCCTAGATTTATTCCGTACACACAACACAGTATCATAATTTATAACATAATATTCGGTTTTCATTTAATTGTTAGACTGAGTTTTACATTTATATTTTTTTCAAATGTTTTAAATTTTGATTCTGAATAGAGCAATAAATCTGTTGATTTTTCAATACTGTGCATTTCTAATTCCAATATCAACAATTTACTTAGCATATTGTATCAATAATAATCAAATAAATTACTTTAGCAGCAATATGAAAGAATTACAAAATATTCTTAGTAATATAGGCTAACAGACCATCTTTTCTCAGAATCGTGTTTTGTAAGCTTCAGTTTATCATTGAATTAATATTTACTTAATATATTATAATGACTTATAATCTACTGTACATCAAAGCAGTTACTTATTTTCCTCACTTTTTTCATAAGCACAATAGCTGAATACCTATATTATGTGTGTTAATGAATTTTTTTTTGCCAACAATTATTTTTTATTCTAATACAATCTGTATAAAATACTAGTTTAATTTGTGTATTTTAATATTTTTTAATAATTTTTATAAACAACATAATATACATATATATAAAACACATAAAACATATCAGTATACTATTATTTATAGTAAAAAACTTAATATCTACGGAACTGTTTTTTGAATCTTTCATAATGGAAATCGTCAGTTGCATTATCTTTTTTTTTTCTTTTATCAATATTTTTTTCATCAGAATGATCTTGTTTGATTGCAGGTTGTTGCTTATAATTTTTTTTCCCATCTGGTCCTGTTATCTCAATATTAACTAGAATTGAATAACAGGGAAAATTAAAAGTAAGCCTAACATTCAAAACAAAAAATTATGTTAATTTAACTTACATCTATTATGTTGTACAAAATTAACTGCCATGTTTGTAGGAACAAATTGTGATGGACCATCTTTTTTATTACGCTTGTCACGAATTAATTTCATTTTAGCTTCTTCTGTTGCTTCAATATTTTTTATTTTTGCACTAGTAATCAAAGAATATTATAAAATATAAAATTTATTAATTGTCAAATTTTTTTTTTTTATCAACTGAATTGTACAGTTACATCCACAATTATTTATTTTTTTAAATTAACTAAAATTCTAGTTTTAAATTTTTCATTTGTTTGATATACTTTTTAAACCTTTTGATCAACCTAGTAAATAGCAATACACTACTTGTATCCCACTCTAGTGAATAAGAACATTTTTTCCCCAAATTTGAATAAAGATAACTTACTCAATTCCTAAATCTACTTCAGGAATACCGCTTAACATTTGATTTGATAACATTTCTTCAGATCTGTGAGTCGTTGAGTTTCGTAAATGTGATGGAACAGCTTGTAAAGCTGCTAATTCTGGTGGACAATAATTTGATTTATTGAGACTGGCATTATCATCATCTATATCAACTGTTCGCCCAGTTCGTACAGCCACTTGTTCATCAATATATTTCATCCTAAAATTATGTTTTTATTTATTGTACATGTATATATTATTAAAAATAATATTGAATAATATTTTTACATTTCTTCGTCTTCATCTCGTTTATTAGTTTCAGCTGAAAATTGTGTTCCTATTCCAGTATCATAAGCATCATCTACTTGAGTTACTTGACCAGTTTTTAAAGCATCCATATTTATTAATCCACCAGTTTTTACTTTAAATGGATCAACCTAAGTTAAATTTAAATAGTAAATTAATAAGTGATTATAATATAATAATATGTGGAGTCGAGCAGAATCTGAATATGTATCTTTTTTCAGATTGTAAATGTTCAATATCTAATAATTATTTTATCATACTTTATTTTTGACTATTGTGATGTGGTAACAGTTAACAAAGTTTAAATAAATATTTTAAGTTTACGCAGTAAGTCATCTTTATATTTAAAAAAAATAATTACAAATTTTATACTTTACCATCAATTTTTCTTCTTCTTGAGTAAGTTTTTCTCCTAATGCAAGGCTAATGATATTAACACCATTGGGCCTGTCTCTTAATTTTTGCATAGTTTTCATTTCTTCAAGTTTACCACTAAACATTTGAAAATTAATCATGATACTAACAGCATTGGTTAATTAAATATGTTTTTCGCAATAAATAATTTAAGCTTACAATATATCCACATCATCTTCTTGTTCATCATCATCTATTCTTTTCCTTAATGATCGTCCTTTTGATTTTTTTTTTAGCAGAACTGGAGATTTTGAACTGAAAATGTTAGTGTAAAATTAAATATTATATATTTAGTTGGTTATGTGATTATATTTTAGACTAGTTGGGTAATTATTTTGTTATAGCATTGATTCAATTAATTTCTATACCGATATTTGATACTGTAAACAGTTCAAATCTAATATTTCTTTCAAATTTATGAACTATTTTTTTTTACACAAAATATGAATATAGATATTTGCTAAACTTTTCTTTTAAATCTTCAGTAATTTTGCTTGGTAAACAAAAATAGTTCATACACAAGAAAATTAATATACAGATCAAATTAACTAACGTATTTGTATCCTGTAAAGAAACTTCGACATCTTTTTGTGCTTTAATAGTTTCATTATTTGTTTCCATCATGATCTATTAAAATTTAAAATAGGTACGTTTGTTTTGTTTTAAATAAAGTTAAACATAGAAAATATAATTACTTAAATTAAAAATTAAAATATAACGAGGAATAATTTTGTATCAAAAAATGAATTAAATAAAAAAATAAACATTAATATTTAATTTTTATAATACATCCAATCACACTTCAGGCTCAACATTTAAGAATAGGTATCTACTACTTATTACTATTTACTTAATACTTATGTCCTATAGCCTTTAAGTATCTTAAAAATTGTGTTCGGGCTTTACTTTACAATTTTCTTATCAAGTATAAGTTTGCTTTTATACCAAAATATCGGTTAAAGATATTTAACCATGATTAGATTATATCAATTATTATAGACCATTGAACTTTATATAATAACATATTATAATCATAATATTATAAATATTACATCGTTATAGAGTTCAATCGTTCAATGGCTAATACTATCATAGGCCTAAAGTTACACTCAAAACAATCATTTTTATTTTTTATGAAATTACGAAAAACAAGAAAAAAAAATTAAAGCATGATTTAAAATTATATCACAGATACCGACGATTCACGATACGCTACACAGACATGAGACAAGTCATACAGTGCCACAGTGGTGACTTCAGTTTTGAAATTAATGCATTGATTTATTTTTAGAATTAATTGGGTTTATTCTAAAATTTAGAACAATTAGAAAATAAATATTATTTAATAATTAAAAAGAAAGTTTTTATTTTTAACGTCATTATTTGAAAGGAGTTCCTATAGAATCAGAAATTCTTTCGACGAGACATATGTATTACAAATATCTTAAAAAAAATACCACAATACTTAATACTATTATAATAGACAATAGTGTTTACTATTTATTATTATAATATGGCTCTTTATTAACTATCTGTAACTTGTCTACTGTAATTAAAAAAAAAATTATTTTGTTTGTTGTTAGTTTGGTACCTATATTCAGTATCGTCGTCGCGGGCGAAACTGTTTCGCTCCGAAATCTGATAATATTATTTTTTAATGATAACGACATTTGAACAATTAAATAAAAATAAAAACAAGTATGAACTATGAAGTGATAATAATTTGAATATTGGTTATTGATGTATTAATAATATTTTATTCACAGTTTTTCTTGTTTTACGGGTATTTTAAAACACGGTGAAAACGAAACAGTAATCAATTGATGTTGAATAAGTCTATAGTCTTAAATTCCATGTACAGCTATGGGTTATGATATCGTCCGTTTTGTTGGAGAAGTAGATGAAGAGCTTCTTTGTCCCATATGTACTGGAGTACTACAGGACCCAGTCCAAGTAAAATTTATATATATGCCTTCACCAAGTATTTTTATTAATCATTTTAAACTTATGTTATGAAAGGAGTGAAGTTTATATTTTTGGTATATCACCATACAATGTATTATTTACTGTTTGCTTTTTCAGGCTCCTGCATGTGAACACGCATTTTGCAAAGGTTGTATACTCGAATGGCTGTTAAGACAATCCACATGTCCAGTTGACAGACTTTCCGTTAATGTTCTTCAGTTGCGACCGGTACCACGAATTTTAAAAAATCTACTAAACAGGTTGGTGAATATTGTTCTTCAATCAATACGACTTATATGTAAAAACATGATTATATTTTTAATTTGGTGTAACTAAAATATTTTGATTAAGTCCTTGTGGTAAAATGTATTATAATCCTAAAAAAAAGAAAGAAATTATCTTTATTTTCACTTTAATTTAATTAACATTTAGGTAGTGATTATTTTATCATTGAATGTTCATTATTTCAAATTCCATTTTGCTTTTTTTTTTTTTATTTAATTTTAAATCATTACAAAATATAATTTGAAGTGTTTCGGTAAATTCAAATATTTCGAGTTCAGTGAATACATTACGCACATGAAAAGTAAATAATTTAGTTATGTATTAGGAGTAGATAGATCCTCATTTGCTATTTTCATGATATCTGAAGTAGGGCTATTAAATTAATAATTTGTAATGGAAAATGGGAAATGAAGGAGAAAGTCATTACAGGATTTTTAAAACCGATATTCAAAAGTTAATTTTACTTAATAGAGTAAGTAAATTAATATGATAATTAATTAGTTTTGAATAAAAATTATAAATTAATTTAAGCTTGTCTGTCAGTCAACGGGGTCAGGTTCTATAAAAAAGTACTGGATTGTAGTCATGTAATGGACAAATGATTGATAATCTGCATAACAAATGATTCACATTTCAGAAACTTTTTCTAATTATTAACAGTCCATTTTGGTGTTTAGATTCCAAATAACAACTACATATTCAAACTACACAAATTAATAATAAGGAATCTTATGGAAATAGATTGCTTGAAATATATTGAAATTTTAAACATAAACTCTAGGGTTTTCAAAGTCATTTTAACTGTTGTGTAAATGTGACTATTTTGATTATTGAGCTCAATACTTCTATAAATAAAAATATATTTTTTGCATTTTTGTGGTTGTATTGGTGGAAGTAAAATTATACACTCATATTATTATAATTGTTATGTTAAATTTATTTAGGTTATATATTATTTGTGAAAATTCAAATTATGGATGCCAAAGTGTTGTCAAATTGGATACATTAGACTCTCATTTATCCGAATGCGAATATAATCCTAAAAGACCATTTCCTTGTGAACAAGGATGCGGTTTAATCATACCAAAAGATGAACATAAGGTCTGTATTTAACATGATAATACAATAGATTAAAAAAATTACATAATAGATACACAACACCAATGCAATTATTTATTGCTATTGATTCATTTGTGATACATGATGGTAGATTGGGTTATGCCCTTTCCCTTTGTGGATGTCCACTTATAATGGTGTTATTAAGTCAAGTTTAAACAATAGATAAAATGATACATAAATTATTGCATTGGCTGTTAAATTTAATTTATGATTTGATTACTAATGTGTAACATTTTGATTCAATGAAATATTTTAAAAATTAAATAGGATCATAACTGTGTAAAAGAACTGCGAGAATTAGTACAAAAGCAACAACAAAAAATAAATGAAATGCATCAAGACATGGCTACGTATAGATATGAAATGACTGGAATCAAAGATGAAATGAGAATTTTGAAGGTAAAATGTTTATTTCTATTACATTAAAAATAATATTTCCTATAAACTATTTCTATTTTGTACTAGTTCAAAATCTTAAAATAATTTATCTTGTTTAATTTTAATGTAATATATTATGAATAGAGTACTAAAGATTTAATAGGTGTATGTAACTAAGATTTATTAAATTAAATCAATCAGTCATAAAAAAAACAAAAAACTTATTCTTTTCCCTGATAAAAATGAGGTTTATTTTTAAATAGTGAAAAATAATATTGTACAATTTAATTTTTCTCATTTAGTAGATTTGTATTGTTTTTACATAGTATAAAAATTATTTTATATTATTAAACTATGTTTACTTCTAGATTTGAGTTAATAAATTTCTATATTATTTGGCGAGTTAGTTTGTTTAAATATAACTTTATTTTATGATGATTATTTGACATATTTTTACTCAAAAGTTGGAAGTAAATATTTATTTTTATTTTCAATCAATGTTATGATTTATCAACTCACTCATAAAATTTGTTGACAGTGAAAGTATTTCAAATTTCCAATATTTTTCATAAATATTAGTCAATTTAATTAAAATTTATAAATTTAAATTATAGTCATTGTAATGTATAAAACATAGGTGAAAAAAATGTTCATAATAGTAAAAAAAAAAAAAAAAAATACAAAACAAAACAAATTTAACAGTACATTTTATAAATAGGCATACCTTAAAAACTTATATTATATAGCTTTTAAATTGTATAATATGCATGATTATAAATACTTTATCTAATTTAATCTTAGTGTAATTGCATAGAATAGGAACGAGCATTTGGGTTATGCACAGGCATTGAATTAGGTTTAGATATACTCCATTCATACCATACTTTTGAAGCATCACTAAGGCGCCAAAAATGCACTTTCAACTGCTCATCTTTCTTTAATGTTACACTGCTTTTAATTGGGATATAAGCTGGATACCAACTGAACATGCCCGTGCTAAATGTTGAAGGTTCAATACTAATGTTTATATCCTTGTATAAGACTGCTTTGAAATATCCAGCAAATCCATGTAAAATGCAATCTTGTTTTATGTCAAACGTCAGTGTTGTGTATCTGTTATTGTTTCTTTCTAAATCACATCTTGGGTGTTCAAAAGTGAACAATGGCTGTGAAGGGGATATAATATACATGTTGCGCATATTAACAACATATATTTGTTCGGCATTTTCATGCTGGTTGTCCATAGATGTATTAGATTTAAACATCTTCATATTATTAAACAGAGTTTGAGATTGTAGTGGGCTTAAATAAGATGTGTATGATGAGGGAATACAAACACCATCTTTTTTCAAAAACTTCTGTGCTCCATCTAAACATTCAGGTGAAAGTTCATTGTCACCAAACGAACCCAATAATTCAGATACAAGTATATCACATTTTTCTTCAAATTTCCATGTTCTCATATCTGCACAGACTACTGTAACTAAATTGTGCCAATAATTGTCATTGTTATAATTCAACACATGTAATGCGTTCTCATTTTTTTCAACCGCATAAACTTTTATAGCAACTTTAGATTTCTCAGATGCATTTAGACTAGCATTTACTAGAGGCCCTCTGCCAGCGCCTACTACACACACCGTCAACACTTCAGTACTACCGCTTTTAACTTTGTCTGTTAATGCTTTGGTTATAGCCTTTTCATACTGTTGATATTTAATTGGATCTTGTTCAAACACAGCATAAACATTGTTATCTAAGTCGTTGATTAATGGCTGTAATGGCACTTGTAACAAATCTTCATATGCATAAGAATAACTATAAAGCTTATCAGACTTGTTGTTGTCATGAATAAAAGACAAATATTCGAAATATGGTTTCATGTTTTGATCAGGCTCACCACTTATAAAGATACAGGCATCTAAATCGAATAACTTGTTGATAAAAACTTGGTGAGGACGAGAAAGTACAGGATAACCTGCTTTGTTGGTCAGAAATATGGAAGTAGGCGCTATAACTGCCTTGATAGGTTCACCCAGCCAACGATCAAGTTCTTGTTGGTCAGGCAAGTCAACACTGAGTTCTAATGCCAAGCATACTGATCTATGATAGTCACATGCAGCGCTGAATGCTGACCACAACTTCCAAGTATTTATTGCACTGCTGCTGATATTGTTATCATTGTCACCACACATTCCATTATTATCACCACCACCACCGCACGTCATAGGCACTCGTACATAAAAGTTGATGAATACATTGTCATAGAGCGCAACATTGACTAGACGAACCAGGTTAGGGATGCAGCCGTCGAGTGGCAGCTGGAACATAATTGCCGACACATTCAGGTATGATGCATACGAAACCTCTTGTCGAAATAGCTCGGCGTCCCGATCCCTAGCGCCACTGTCTGCTGAATCCAAATTCAGGTGCTCCGACAATTTCACCACTACCTGGTTCCATGTCTCCGCCTGTAGAATCACGTCAGCCCTGCTCACTAATGCAGACCGGTCCAATGTCGTAGCGTCAGGCGTTAGTTTTGCGTGCACTAGTGGTATGCATGCGTATGAGTAGCCCCAGTTAGTTAGCTGTTGTATACACGCTACTAAGTCTGGTACTGATGTGAAATCGAAACCGAATTTTATTTGCTTCTTGGACGTTGTCGTCATCGCAATGGTAGGCTAAAAATGGTGGCTACAACTGTTGTCGTTATTTTAATAATATTAATGTCACGATACCTAAAGAGTAATAGCTTCCGGTTTCAATGTTTGTTTTGCACTCCAGCGACTAGCAGTCCTCACAGTCTTGCTTACAATTTTATTGTTGTTGAGTATTCAAAGTCTTGTATATTGGAATTTATATTTTATTATGTGTTAGTCGGCATTGTTGTTTTCGTTTCGAACACGTTGTTATCATAACGTATGGTCGGTGTATTCCGGTTAAAATTAAAAAGGTCCTCTTATCACTTTTCATCGACAGTGCTACTTCTTGGTGCACGATTTACTAACGTATGAATACAATATGATGTTTGCCCATTTTAAATTTTATGTTCCCATCGTATTTTTTCACTCATAACTACGATATTTAAAATTTATAATAATTATTAATCATAATATATAATAATTGAATTCTATGTTATATAAAATAGCAACAAATTTATAAAATATTTTATATTTTGATTCGTTTTTCGTTCCATACTTCCATTGGCCATGGATACAAATGATACAATGTTAAAATAAATATATTTATTATTTACATTTATTTCTATTTAAAGGAAATAAAAAAAATACTAACCATATTATATTTTAAATAAATTAAATTTTACTCGTCTATTTTGATCTATTTTGTTAGTAATTTTTTTTAGATATTAGATAATATTATATATTGACATTTGGCTCTTTAAACGTTTTCGTAATTCTGTTTTAAGAATTTTTGTTTAATTTATTGTAATAAAGGAAAAACCGATGAACTGGTAGTCTAATCCATTTTTATTTTTACACAAAATGAGAATGATTGCTCAAATTGAATACTATTTAAAAAAAAAAACTCAAAAAAAAAAAAAAGAGTTGTAAATCTCTATTATATAATATAAACAATAGCTGTAAACAAAATCAATTGTACACTTTAGTAGTTGGCTATAATCGATTAAAAAAATAATAATCGTGTTTTAAATATTGAAAATAACGTGTGGTTTCAGTTTATCTTTAGAAGAATTTATAATTGTTAGTATTTGATTGACATAATGGCTAATTAGCATTTTAGTAATTTAATAAATTAGGTACTGGTCAATAATATTATGTTTAAACAAATAAAACACGATTAATAAATCTATAGATTAATCTGTGCTTATTTTTTTTTATCCTTAATTACTGAAAACCTTATTTTTATCGATTTATGGTCAATAAATAAACAAATGACTCATTGAAACCCATTTATATAAAAATTCTGTTACTTAAAAAAATATTTGAACTCATATAATTATTTCATATTTTTTTATCATAAAAATATGATTTAGTTGTAACACTTGTAACTAACTACTTTAATAATCAGCCAGACGTCAGTGTGAGTAAAGTACTATGTTGAGCAAGTTGTGTACAACAATCTTTTACTTATTATATTTTCCTATACAATTAATAGTTAAAATATGGCACTTTCTAAAGGTTATTCATTTTGTTTGTTTTGTTTAAAAAGAAAAAAATAGAAGGTAGAATGTTTGGTTCATTGAATTTAAATTTTTTATTCTATACAGGGTTATGTGCGAGCCTTACGTGTTTGCAATCCAAGTGTAAGGGCTGTAACTGATGAGTTGGAAAGAGATGAAATCGAGCGCTGGTCAAGTTCACTTCCTCAAGCTAGAGTTACTCGCTGGGGAGGAATGATTTCTACGCCCGACGAATACCTTCAAGTATGTAACAATATTTAATTTATATTGTGTTTCAATTTTTAAAAATGTTCTTTTTGTTTTTTTAGAATAACATAAAACAAGCACTTATTGAAAGTGGTTGTCCTGCTCACATCCTAGATGATCTCGTTAAAAACTGCCATGAACGAAATTGGCCATCCGGACTATCAAGTCTAGAAACTAGACAACACAATAGAAGACACTATGACCGATATAACTGCAAGCGTATACCTGGAAAACAAGCTGTCATTGTTTTGCCTTGTGATAATATTATGGTTAGTGATGACATGATGTCTGAACCGGGTCTCATCATGATTTTTGCTCACGGAATCGAATAAATTATATGTGTGTATTGTTTTTGGTAATGTTAACATCTAATATATTTTTTTTAATCCCATTTTGTTATTTTTTAATATCTATGGTTGACCATGAACCATTGTGATAAATTATATATTTCATGAATTTATTCAAATCACTCATCTTTTTTTATCATTGTAATTTAAAAAAAAAATTATCATTTGTTTTTTAACATTGCAATTTTAGAACACCATTTTTTGTACGATCAATAAAAAATTATAATGAGCTTATTACACAACAAATAACTATACAAAAGCCAAACATAAATTCTTTTACTTCAATATTCTTTAAATGTGATTGCTATGTATCATGTATAGATACAATGACATTTAAATTTTAACAAAAAATTTCAACTCGCTAACTATAATAAAACATAATTTTATTAAGTAATTTAAATTTAACATTTTATATTTTTATCTTAAATGTATGTTTTATCATAAACTATTTAAACTGTGAGGTTTGTTTGTTCATCATTGTAATATATATACGTATCTAAACAATTATAGTTATTATAAAATAGTCAGTATGTGTTTTTAATGTTATATTATATAGTCATAATGAATTTATTGTTTTATATGTATATATAATAATTTTTATGTTTAATATTAAGTCAATTATACGATAATTAATCATTATATTAAGTATTGCTTTAGTGATATGATATACAAAATATTTTCTAGAGTACTTCAAACTGTTTTGTGTAATGTATAATTTGTTATCTTATTAATGTGTATTTTTATTATTATTATTATTATTATTATTATTATTATTATTATTATTACTCTTAGAATTCTATAACAAATTTAAACTAAAGTTAAAAATAAAATACTTTTAATTTTTTTTAACATTAGAGATAGTTTTATACCTACTTATTTTAAGTAACTCATAGCATCCAACTTCTTGTTTTGAATTTTCTGTTCAATGGTTAGTAAATTATTATTGTTAAAATTATGATTTGATATATACTTTGAATATTCTTTATTTCTTAACTCGTAGTCAAAACTATAATATTTTTTAATAAAATTCGGAGATAAAATTAAATAAATTGTGTTTAACTATGGTATTGAGTCTTAAAAAATAATAGTACGTCATAAGTTACTTTTCGTTTCAAGTCGAGGACATACTCATACTTATACGCTTTACAGGCATATTACATTTTTTTTTCCTAAGTACCCCTACTTACTCGCTCTATTGATCTACGCACGACAATTTTACAAGAGACCAGATCGGTAAAATAAATATTTTTGTTTTATTATCGATACATAATAATATATGAGACGGTAGATGTCGAGTATAAAATCTGTATATCACATTAATTACATTGTCTACTCCGTCATTTGCAGTTTTTGGCGAGTTTTTATCAGCTCGACCACGGACTGCTGTTGTTGATTTGCTGTGACACGTTCACGGTCAAGGGAGGCACGCCATTACGAACCGAGAGGTTGTACTCGTAATACGTGAACGAGTCTTGGAGAGATGACTGTCGGTCTTCGGCGGCGGCGACGACGTGTGATCTGCGATCACATTATATTATATATTTATATACGACTTCTCGAGCATGATTTGGCTGGAGATGATAACTCAAATTGAGTGTAAAATTTTACTAAACATTACTCAATCGTTGAATTAAAATTATCTACACTTAAGCTAAAGTTATAGCTTTCTCTTTTAAAATAGAATCATTGACCGGTAAATTTAATTTTTAGCTTGTTGAAACCATCGTAGCCTAATAAAGATTCTTCTGCATCGAAAATTTTTCCATTTCGTTTCTGTTTTCGAGAAAAAAGCAAAGTTTGTTCTCCATAACTTCCTTACGATTTTTAAAATTTTGTTGAACGTTGGCTGTGGAATTTTCAGAGCTAATGCGGCTTTTTTTTTGAGAACATTTCTCTAATTTATCAAAACGAACCATTAAATCAAATTTTTCTTTTATTATTAAATCTTCATGTTTGCTCGACATTTTAGAAAAATATTTGATCACGAACTATGTATCTATACAAAATAACTGAATAACGTGGTGTTTAACGAAATATTATTATATTCTGAAAAGTTCAAAAATAAAACTGGTCTTGTAAATTTATCATTTTGAAATACTATACAAATAGTAAAAACTATAAGAATGTTCATAAAAGTGATTTAATTATTCGGCTCTTGGTGATTCTAATAAAAGGTTAATTTAACATTAGTAGGTAGCATAAGATTTGGTTTGGGACTTTCATTTTTGATTCCAATAAATGGTTGATTCTATAAACCAGTGATTACATCAAGTGGAACTCACTGTAATTGCATATTCTTAATTGACCAAATGCAAATTTTACAATTTTTTATTGTATTTGAATCTTAGCCCTATTAATAAAAGTTATTGTGTACTCATATAAAATGTAATTTGTATTTTAGACTTTAGTAGGTACATAATTAATATAAGATATTAAATAGAATAACATTATTGTGAATTTAAACATGATAAATTAATAATTATTTTTTTTATTTATTCTTTTGAATAATTAATCAAAAGTCTTTATTTTACACCCTAAATTAATCACGTTTGTTTTTTACATAATATCCAGTCGAAATAAAATAATATATATATTTTTTAGTATTTTTTATCTTTATAACTATTGTTTAAGATTTTTACTTTTTTGAATGACATTATACAATTTTAATTTCAATTTCAAATCAAAATGTTCTTTTGAAATGCCTGTTGTTAACATTCTATTAATTAGAGAAATGTGACTATAATTTTAACGAATTATGCACGAGTGTATAAACACGAGAAACGTTATAGAAGTAACTATATTGTTGAGTTAAAGCACATCATTAAGCTTACCTATTTATCCTTTCAAGGGTTTCAATATCAAAATTGATTCTTGTTGTTCAAGAAATGTGCCAAGTGCTTATTAGGTGTATGCAAGTACCTACGCGTAAAAGCCACTTCTGATTACTTAATTAAATTAACCTAATTGTTTTTTTTTATTAAGTATTTGAGATTTTTAATTTTTGTATTATTTTAAATCATAGGTTAACGACCTCTAAATTATAAGTTGGCGATCCCCAGGTTGAAAGACACTGCCTTAGAGCATCCCTGGCCGCTTAAATCAAAGAGGTATAGTAATACATATTATATTTAAGAACTAAGAAGACAAAATAAACAATACAGCTCTTTAAATTACAGGTACCTATAAAACAGACGTTATTACCATGTGATGATAAAAATGCAATATTTATTTCACTCAACATCTTTAACAAAAAGATATTCATATAATATAAGCGTGCTAGTATACATTATTATTTTTATATAAGTAAATAGGTGTGTGTGTGTGTGTGTGTGCGTATAGTTGGGTTACTGTGCAGCGAAAATAACGCTGAACGAACGTCAGACTATCGAAATGTCAAATAGGATTAGACGCGTACCACGGAAAGTCGCGTTGCGACTGATTAGACAGCCGTACGGAAAAATAAAGCGGAAAACGCGTCTTTAATCGCGTGCAACGCGAACGCGTGACAGGCCTCCGAACAACCACTGGGACGATGGTTGCCGACTACAGCGGACGGAGTCGATACACCTCCGCTGCCGCCACATCCACCACCGCCTCCAATACCGCCTTCACTACCGCCACCGCTGTCCACTGTCGACGCTAACACGTAACACGACGGTGTGGGGCTCACGGTGGTCACGACGTGTCGGCCGGTTACATCCATCGCTTCACCGGACACCAGTCGCACGGTCCTGTCATTGTCTCCGCCACCGATCCGTGATTCTCGTACGGCCACGGCACCTTCGAGCACTGCCAACGTGGTGGTCGTCGTTTCCTGGTCGTCCTCGTCGTTCGTCACCGTCATACCTGTACAGATGGACATGAAACATCAGCCAAAGAAGAAAGTTGCGCTCGTACATAGTTCGGGTTCTACGAAATGGCTATAAATGTGGTTGATTAAGCAGAGGAAACAGTTATCCGTGCGACCTGCTTCTTATGTTGAGTAGAGTACTGCAGGTATTAATATAAGCTACAGCCATTGGCGTGCGCAGACTTCTGAGTCAGGTATGACTAAATTCAATCTTGACCACCCACCCTCCTCCTCGTCAAGATCGCACAAGAAAAAAATTTATAAGGTTTCGAGTTGTATTAATAGTAAGGGATGTGTAACAGTTAATGGACGCGTGGGCTTAAGTCTGTAGAGCTATGTGGTTAAAAAGTGAGTATGGGGTAAGAGTTATTGAAAAGTTAACATTAGTAATGTTGTATTTTTATCATTATTGATTATAATTTATAATATTAAAAAATTAATGATTTTGAAAAAAGTTTAGTATATTACACTTTAGAGATTTTGTGACACTGATTAAAATCAATAAATATGTTTGAATTTTCATTTTGTGATCCAACTTTTTTAGCAACAGTAATATGAAAAAAATACCACATTTCAGGTGATGCTATAATATGTACCTGGAAAATCGGCGAAAAATAGTAGATCATCGTCCGTGTTACGTTTTGCGTCCACTATTAAAGGCCGCCACCAGTCCAAGTGCCGGATCAAAGGAAATAGCCATGGCACAGGTAACCAAGGTGACCAAGGGGCATGCAATAAATCCACATTTGGGTCGACCAGGCGTTGATGGAATCGACCGTTGAGTGACCCCCAGATGTCCATTTGGACAGATATATTATGCCTGTCGGGCATGTTGGCTGCAACGCACTTTGCGAACTGCTTTAACATATCACCGTGCAACATCCACTTGTTGTTGTTCGTCCAGCTCTGTTGTGATATAAGCGTAAATTAATACATAACATTGTTTATTTTACAGATATATATTTTTTTTATTTCTTAGTTAAAACTATTACTGTAGAAATATATTATTATTAAAATATTATTGTTTTAAAACTTTAAGAGTACATATTTTTGCTGCCATTTGATGATGTGTTGAGTACCCCGTTAAACTTCTTTATCAAAATATTCACAGTAAAACATTTCAAAACGATAAACATAAAAATTTTACATTTGTCATTTTTAATTTGATCTAAGAAAAATTCATCACCTTATGCTGCATATTGCCATGTTCCGCACATTCACTTTGTTGGAGATTAAATCATATAATATTATTCATAAATCGATGTTCAGTGAAATCTTTTCGTTAGGGTATTTATGTGTATGGAATTACTTATCTGTATAAATTAGATTAAAAACCATTGAACTAGAAATGTATTAAATATCTGCTGTGACTAAATAATACCTTCTGTATACATTATAAACATAAATAAATGTCCATAATTTTTTCTTAATTTTTTTCCTAGTTATTTTGTAAAATACTGAGAATTTTTTTCTTAAAAATTACAACACTTAAAGTACATATTAGATCTAGTTTTTTACCAGAGGTTATTCTTAACGTTGAAAATTGAATCATTTTTATTGCCCGAAAAGACAATGATAGGCAGAATAAATATAAATATAAGGATATATTATTACGTGTGGATCCAAGAAGAATTGTTCACGACGTACGTGGTCCAATACTTTTACTTCTATCTTTGCCACATCGATGTTGTGTACCATCATGTCCCAAGAATATCCATATAATCCGTTTCGCCATCCGTTGTAACCCTGTATTAAATGTAATGTTATAGTGTTAGTATAGTAAACTTAGAAAACGCTGGACAAATTTTAACGGCACGAAAAATATTTTTATTATCTATCATTAAATGAAAACAATTAATTTAATTTAAAATAAAATTAAGTTACTAATCATAAAAATTTGAAACGTATTACTTCAATACATAATAATTTGTACTTTGAAAAATCAGCTTATTTAAAATAATACAAAATTTACATCAACATATAATATGTATTATGTACTTTAAAATTAATTTTTCACAGTGAATTATTTAAAACAAATTTATTTGTGTTAAATTTGTGTTTGGTACGTCATCTAGAAAATATTGACTACTTTGATATTATAAGATGCTATTTTGTTCTACAATTGTTTTTATTTTGTAATTATTATAATGATCTCCGTTATTCAAGTTAATGTATTCCAAATTTCACATCGATCATATTACTATTAATTATAAAAGTTTATAAAATAAAATAACCCAGTTTTCGAAGTTTGAAATAGGCATTTTTTATTAACACAATTTATTTCAATTGAAATGGACTTTTTACTTCAGTGTTGGTTTTTTTTCAAGTTCATTTTTATATTAATAAAAGTAAAATTTTCGATTAAATTTTAGAGGCTTAAAACCCAGCAACCATGACAAAAGTCAAGATTAAAATCTAAAGTAAAAATGAAAGTTGATGGTTCTAAGTCAAAATAAAGAATAATCATAACTTAAAGGGTAGTTTGATGCGATAAATTTGTTGGTTATTACACTGCGTACTTATATACCTGCGTTAATATATGTGAGTACGGCAAACATAACTGTAGAGCTGTATACACGCACACTCCTGCAACAATGGCGTTTTGTTTGGTCCTCGACGGTGGTTTGTAGTCGACGGGTTTTGATTCAGACTTGTCGTTCCAAATACATTTAACAGCGGCCCGTAATATTTTAGACATCGTTGCCGGTTCGCAAAATACTGGAATCATTGCGGCGCAAACGTATGGAAACATACCTGTGCAAGTATATGCGAATATTATTTTATTTATTGTTATACAAATAAAGTCTGTACAATTCTTTAATAGTAATAATAAACTATTAATACAATCTTAAGATGAGTAGAACGTAAAATTAAATAGGATAGGTATATATCTTTATTATTTTTTTATGAATAACAAAAAGAACACATTAAAGGAATTCCAAATATTGGATAAAACGCGGAAAACCGGAATAGTTGATTTAATAAAGAGACATTTATGAGTGTGAAAAGGAACAACAAATGGCCGGTGAAATACAAAGAATTATACGAGGTGTACCAAAGATAATTTTTGTTGGTATATAGTATAGTCAATAGAGTCAATTTTACCATACATTAAATTATTGGTAAACGTATAGGAAGCTATTTATACAGTTAGCTGAAGAATACAAACGTAGATGAATCAAATAGAGTAATGTAATCGTAAGGATATCTCTTGGATTTAAGTACATAACTTGAAGCTTTTTAAGTTGACGAGAAATCGCTGCTACATTATAGGATTCCGTAGAATGGAACTTACAATGTCTATTTCAATATTGTCCAGATAAATACGTAGTACCGAAAAAACTTAAAAGTGTCGACAATCAATAAATTGTACATGTATATAAATTATTGGTAGGTAATAAGTAATAACGTATGTACGTATTCTTGTGTAATGTACGTATATATAATGTAAACACAGATAAAGCTTTCGCTTACAGATAAGTATGTACTCTACGATATAGACATATAGTTTTATGTATATAAATAATATAATATAATCAATTATTATAAACATAAATATTAACTATAGTATTGATAAAGTGGAGTGTCTTGTTATTATCTATAGTGTAGATTCTACGTGTAGGTATATATGTAAGAAATAAATTGTAAGCGTCGTCCACCTATTTAATACTCGCCTATGGTAAACATGGTAGCGTTCATTCCATGAAAAGCGAGCAGCACGATGATAGTGAACGGTCGAGTAGACCGGAAACACAGTCCAAATCCCGACAACAAGTCGATGAGAAATCCTCCGACGTGCACTATCCAATGATCTATGAATTCGGCTGAGAAAAAGAACCTGTAGTTGTAGTTTTGGTGAAATCAAAATCAATTAATTATACATCATCGTGGTTTAACTATGTACTCAACTTATCGAATCGACCGATAGAGCTGAATAATATCATGTATTAGTTTTTCATGGTATGAATTATACAATTATAGCTATGCACCTGAACAGAGTGAATACGTGATGGTGGCCCAACGACATCATCGAGTAACCCCAAAGCCAATCGGGTTCAAACTTCTTTAAGCCGGCCACGAAGTACATGATAAAAAACTGTAATCTAAGCAGCAAATAGTTCCAACGGGGAACCGAGGATGGTGTGTCCGACGGAATTTTTCGCAGCAACCTGTCCATGGACCTTTAAGGTAATACGGAATTTGGTTTAAACAATAATATTATTACATTATAATTCAATAATATTATGATGTACAAAACAAAATATATTACTACTCTGCTCACCAGTTGTGGTGAGCGTCTGTCACGGAAAAAATCACGATCAGCAGTCCGAACAAATACGAATGGTTGTTCCACAAGCTTTTGTCGGCCAAAAATATGTACCAGTAAGGGATAGCATATATGGCACAACTAATCCGGTAGTGGAAACCTATAGATATACCGAGCACGCCTGTGAAGTACGAGTAACAGAATAAAGTTTTCAAGACAATTATATGGAAAAGTGTTTAGTATTAATATTCAGAATTAGATTAAAAGTTTAAAAAGTCCAGGAAAAAAAATGATCTCGATTTTAAAAATTATAAATTTATTATATTGGCTGTTTATAATGAAATAAAGAATAGCCAAATATTGAGATAATTACATGTAGATACACAAATTTTGAGTGAAATATCGTCTACAACTAATATGGACGATTAAAGTCAATATCAACATGATGAAAATTTTATATTACCACGATAATTGATTATGCAGTCAAAACCATCCAATAAACAATTTCTTATATATTTTTTAACTCGACGATTTTGCTACACTAATACATATACAATATATTTTTTAATGAAGATCTAAGACTAAAATTGCAATATATCTTTTAGAATCAGTTCCTGGGGCAGGTGTCATAACTGCTTTCCGTCAAATGTGTTTCTGTCATTATTAGACACACACACTACACACATACACACACTCATGTACACGCACATAAAATATCTCTCTATTATAATATATACATACATAAATACATACATTTATTACACATTTATTATACGTATTTTTGTAAACACATTTGTATTTGCTACTTACCGGTAAACATTGCCGCATACGCCAGACACATCCATCGGCCGGGCAGTGGTTTGATAAAATCGAACAGTGGAAAATAGCACTTCATAGGTTCCATCCATCGTTTATCGGCCTGGCAGAAACCTCTTTCATCCATCGTGTCGATCATCATCAGTAAGCCTACTCATTACAGTGTTAGAGATCTGCGTGATTACAGGTGTCAGCCATTCATACTGAAGTGGCCTATATTTAGAGCTATTAAATCTCAACGATCGTTTATCGTATACCGTAGTATAGTGTACCGATATAGAACCTCATCGTTTCGAAATTATGTTTTTATGTATGACAGATATCTTGGGCTTATATACTTGTTAGTTATCGTATTACATTTAACACACGTTTTGCGTATCTATATATAGAGGACAATTCACTAAGCATTAAATTCGCCACCATTTTTCTTTAACAATGAGTTTATTTAAATTCTGATTTTTGGTATATTTAAATCACGATTATCGCTACTAAGGTTTCAAAACACTTTCAAAACACGGTGCTTCGCCGTGCCCGTGCGTACATTTCTGCCGCAACGTGACTAGTGAACAAAAGCGCTAATTGAAGTCGACATGGTTTTAACATGTAAAATACCAATGGGAGCAATATTGTATTTTGTGTAAACTTAAAACAGATAAGTATAAATACAACTCAAAGGACTTAGATTATATAGAATTATGTTTTTTATTGAAATAAACTATTATAAATTTCTTTAAATTGATATGTTCTGAGATATTAATGAAACGAGAATACAAAATTCTTACTTAAATAGCTTTTATTTATTGCTTATTAACATTGTTTTTTTTTTTTTTTTAATTTGTTATTTGATTGCTTTTTAATTATCTGAATAGGAACAAAATAAATAGATTACCACGTGGGTGATACAGTCTTCTGTTTATAAAACAAGAACCCCCTTTTCACTATAAACTATTTAGTAGATAATTTATTAACTATAGGTATTTTATAGGCACCTAATTCAAAATTCGAATATGAAGTTTTTCTATTATCAAAATCTTTAATCTAAGAATAATAGTCCTTAAAAATGTTTTCTTACAAAAATATAAAATATATGCAGGCTTGGATCTATTTATTTTATTTTATATTTACAAATTAGAAATGTTGATAGATTTCTATTAATTAATTATATTTTTACATTAACATAGAATAACATCTTTCAGATTCATTATCAGTTATCATGAACCAATCCTTAGTATAAAAAGTTAAATAACTGAAAAAATTAATTGCTTGAATTTTGATTTGGATATATTGACAATTTCAACAAAATGTCTGTTATTTCAGTAAAAAAGAGAGAATTTCATTTGAACAATAAAGAATTTTATCTCCACAGGAAATTCCTTAAGTAATAAAAAAATCTCAAGAACTTTGAAAAAATAGCCTTTAAATTTATTTAAAAATTCCTTGAATAATATCTTAATAAATATAATATTGAAGAAAACAAAGAGTGAGCATTTTTGGTGAGTTATCTTCTTTAACATTTATAATAAATATACAGTTATGCCGTGTACTGGTACTTGATTGTCTGAGAATTTAGTATCTAAATTTAGCATTAACAGTAGTCACTCCATTACTATTGATCAAACTAAAAGCTTTAGGTTTCCGGATTTTACGAAAAGTGCGAATTTACCACGAATTATCAAACAAAATATCAATACATGCGTATGTGTTTAAGTAAACATTTTACATCTGGGTATTATACAATGTATAATTATAATTATTTGGCGTCGAACTCACCGAAAACAATGCGCAACGCTGCCAGGCACTCTCCTTCTTCCGGCTCGAACATATACGATACCAGCCGTTGCCAGGCGGTTGCGACCTTCCGAGGAACATTTTTTCTCAACGATTTCTCAGCTATCGTCTCCGTGTCCGCATCCATCGCTCCGAAGTGTGCGAATGGACCGGCCGGTCACAATACACCGATCGACCGAGAAAATAATTATTAATACGTTATTCATCTTGGAAAACTGACGTGCCGACCGGACGTTTGACGTTTATGTGGTGCGACGTCGTGATGCATGTATATCTAACATAATAATTATAATAATTTATAATATATATTGTTTGTTTTAATTGAACACCATCGCCGAGTGCGCGTCAATTTACAAGCCTGCACGATATCGTATTAATCGCATTTATGTACACGATAATAATAATAAAATAATGGATTATGATGATGTCGATGATAATATTTTATTATGTGTGTACTGTGTCGCACATTATTTACGGTTTAATGCGTCGAGAAACGGAATATTCGTCTGTTACTAATAAACATAACAGGAATAAAAAATTATCATACGATATGTTATTATAATGTATACTAAATTATTTATCTAATTAAATGTGTATTTGAATCGTTTTTTATAAACTATATAATATATTGATGTATATTGTTCAGCAGTTAGGTACCAATCTAGAACTATGACCATAATCGTTTTATGTATACGAGTGGTCCAAAAATATAATATTTAACATACAGCGAATTTTAACTTGAAAATAATTGAATTAAATTTATCAATACGCATAATAAGTCATATAAGTGTACCTATTTAGTTTTGGTTATTTATTTTATAAGTTTCTGACTATTTTTCATTAGCAACTCTACTGAGTGTTATAATAAGTATAATAAGTACCTTGATTATTCTGAGTAGCCGTGAACTAATTTATCGTAATTTATATTACTTTATGATTTACTATATTTATGGAATTCTATAGTAGTAATTATTATCAGGTAGTGATGTAGCATCGACGGAAATAGAGATGTTTCAAACATTACTGCGTTTGTAGTTCGGGCCAGCTGAAATACCTTGTTGGATGAGTCATCATATACTTACTGTTTTTAAGTCACACGATCACACCTCATAGTCTCTTCAGATACTACCATCGCAACTTCGTTACTTACAATCAAAAAGTCATTGAATGACGCAGATAATGGTATTTGACGTTCTAAAAATAATTTTACTACGAACATGAATCTGGTTTGACAGTAATTATTCATGGTGCTGTTGTAGGAAAAGGTCATTTTCCGTTACTTCTTCTAGAAATAAAATATTTTAATTTTTAGTGTGGGTGTAATCAGGGGTGAGTTTGATCATCCTTTATTAGTATTGAGGGAGGAATTTAAATTCAAAATATTGATGAGTAATCATTTATTTCCAAAGTTTTCAATGTTTATTCATATAACATGATTTTTAGGTTGTAAAAGTTTAAAAATATTAAAAAAAAAAAAATAAATGTTCTTAGAAATCTTCTGTAAATGAAATATTTTTCACAAGTATCTCTAATTTATTTAAAAAAATAATTATAATCAATAATGATTTATATACTTGTTTACATGTTCACATAGTAGAATTAAATATTTTTTTTAATAGTATCTATACTACATGTGCATATTATATGATAATAATATTATATTTAAATATATATAAAAGTAATAAAACGGAAAAGCAATCAAAAATAACTCTAAACTCATATTCAGTTTAGTTTGATTTTATGGAAAAAATTTAGTACTGGAATTTTATTTATATTTTATAAGAATTATAAATAAACCATAATATTATTGTTATATTAAAAACACCGTTTATCTTCCTTGATTCATTTTTTTTTTTTATATATATAAAGGCTTTAACAATTAAGTCATTCGTTAGCAGTTGTATTTAAATTAACACTTTTTTTTTTTTTAACAAATATTGAAATGTTATGAATTATTTGTTTAATTGTAAATAATTGTACTACATTATATAAGCTATACATAGATATAATTTTTTTTTAAGTCATTTACGTGAAGTTTTGTCTTATTTTCTTATTTTTACATTTTATTTTTAGAATTGTTTATTAATAACGTACTAAAATGTTCAGAATTTAAATAATCACAGGAGTATCTTTTGAATTTATTATACAATAAGCAAATTTAATCTTTATTTACAAATTAGTATATTATTAAAATTATAAATGTGATGTTACTTAAGAATAATGAAACAAGCAATTACATTTTATGGTTAAATTTATAATTTATAATACGTAACCGCTAATATAATATATCGATATTAAAATAATAAATTTTATTTGTAATAAAAAACTTGCGTGAGAAAATCTTTACTGGTATTAACTTCAAATAGAAGTGTACTTATCTACTATATATTTTGGTCTTCTGATTCATTTTAATTCATATTAAATAACTCCACTAAAATTTATAAAAATAAAAGTTATGAAATAACTTTTTGTATTAAATATATAAATAATTTTCTTTTAAAAATTATAGTATCACACCATATTTTTAATTTAAAAAAAAATTATTACTTTCACTCAGTGAATTAATTTTATCTTAAAAATTATTTTTCCTTTTAAAGTAAAAAACGTTTTTACGACATATCGTTAGTCTTTTGACAGTAGAATTATGTATTTATTTAACATATACACATACATATATATACATATGTATAAATAAATATATTAAACTTGCTAATGTTGGAAAATGTGTGATTTATCTATAATATCTCGCAAATCGATTTGAGAGCTTATTAATTAATCCAGAATTGATATAATGTGTTAGTTACTTATAAATTACGATAAAAAAAAAAACCAATATGTGTAGTCCACTAGAGTCGTTCACAACTTTTCAAAATGATCAAAAACATTTTTGTAATTTGAAAAACAATATATTTTACATTAACCGAATTTTTTATTGTACGCATATTACTTATGTTTGCTTAGGTATTAATTATCATGTTAAAATGTGACAATTAATTTATTAAAAAATAACAAATAAATTATTAATTTACTATAAAAACTATTTTTATATGTAGCTGACAAATTTAATTATTGTCTAGGAACCATCGAAAGAATTTTTTTTTTTTTATTCCGTAGACAGATCCCTTTATCTGTATTTTGCAAAAACACTTAAATTTAAAGAAATAATTTAAAAAACTATGCAGTGTTGTATCCGTAATTTATCATTGTATCATTTTCATGGGCCACGGGTCTGTTACGAAATCCTTTGTCGTCACAAAGCTGATTTCTTTATTCAATTTTTTTTGAATTATATCAGATAGGTATGATATATAACAGGAGTGGCAAAATTGCGGTTTGCGAGCCGCATGCAACTACCGTTATACTCATATGGCTTGCATCTTATTGTAAGATACAAACATTATTACAAAAAAAATATTCTCAATATGAATTTATATATTTAAAGAAGTATAATATCTTATTAAATTCTAATTTGTAGAAAAAATTTACAAAAAAAAAAAAAAAATAGTGTTTTTGATATAATATTTAAACATGTATTTATTCTTATTTTTAATTATTAATTAATATAATATATTGACATATTGTTTCGCATTTTAAATATTTTATTACAATTTAAATCTAATTATCTTCTTTACAATAATCTTATACATACATTAATATTGACTTTTTTTTTTTAATTTTGGCTCTTCTATATTTATTAATATATTGGGTGGCTCGCAAGTCTTTTCTTGCTAACTACTCCTGATAAGTAATATGTAGGTAAACACTAATTCGTAAATAATATTAATTTTTTCTTTTGGAGTAATTTAAAAACAAGTATATTATATAGTCAAGTACTTGAAATTTGTACCAAATATTTAGATCTTTTAACTTATCTTCATATTATAAAAATACATACATTTTAAAATAATAATAATATTAACCTTTTAGATTTCTTACTTCCTGTTTCTTTACAGCAAATTAATAAATACAATATAAATATTATATTATGAGTAAATAATAATAATTGTTTTTTTCTAAAGTTTATATCAAAATATATTAATATAATTCATTGACTACAAGGCAAAATCATTGATAATAAAAGACACTCTATATTATTATAATCAATGGCAAAAGGCCAAGCGACAAGGCATATAATTATGTGTAGTGAAAGACGAGCTCTATCTATTGGTTAATTCTAACTATTTGATAATAATTAAATAAAGAAATATTGATTTTTAAAATATAAGGTTCATATTATATAATACTGCATTCAACATTTTTTGTTCAGATGATTAGAAATATGATTTCTAAATAACAATTTTATGGGATAACATTTTGGGGAATAAGTTGTATTTTTAATCACTGTTAATAATTATTAAAATGGATTGATATCGTTAAATGTATTTCCGAAAATATTTTTAAATAAGTTTTTTTACTTCTCTTGTCGACGAAATATGTATTAAATTATACGGCTGTGAATAAATTAACGATAGCTTGGCAGATAGCTTGAAAAGTTTTCCATTGCTTCATGTTCTGCCATAATGTCAACGGTAGAAGTAGTAATCATGTGATTTTATTTTAAAGTATTTGTGAAACTAAAAAGGAGACTTATAAAAAAAATTTCACAGGACTTAATTTTGGGTTACGTGTGCTTTTTTCATAATATGATTCTTAATGTAATATACTGCATATTAAACGATTATGTGAAATTATTTTTACTGAAATCCGCGAACCAAAATAAATTGGAATGAAAATACACAAGGCGAATGATAAAGAAGGTAAAAAATAAAGTTTATAGTGATGGTTATTATTTTATTAAAAATAAATAAATTAACGTCTCATTTATCCAAGTTATTAAAGATTAACTTGATATATTCATGTGTACATATTTTTTTCCAGTAAAGACAAATATTTTATAATACATTTTTATACATTGCGATTTTTGTTTAATGTGCCAAGAAATTTCACAAGAATTAGGAATAAAAACATTTGAACTTTGGCAAATTATAACAAAACGTGTACATTCATCATTGTTTAACTCGGTTAAAATGGCTAAAACCTATGATAAAAAACTTTTAGATTAATATCAGATGGTATTATGCAAAAAGTAGGTTACTAGGTTGGTTTTTATAGATAAAGAATTAATTATTTTAATTTTAATTTTTATTTAATCTAAAATTACACATTTTTTTTTTTTTTTTTTTTAGTTATAATTGATTAAACTTACAAATTGATGCGAAAATGTTTATGTAGGTCCCCTAATTTTTTTTTTCTGTAGATACATACAAAAATTTTACTTGTCACACTAATTAATTTTTTTAGCTGTGTATAATTTTCAGGAAATTCATTGTTCAAAAATTCAAGTGAATAATTAAACACAACTTCGGTAAATATTATATTTTTTTTCCATATAGACTATAGATCCATTATATAGAAGAATTCTTGGCAATTATAATTTCAATATTATGTCATTACAAAACCGCTATTAAGGTGGAGATATCTTTAAAAATTATACCTATGGTATATGAGTTACTAGGTACTCAAATAAATAAATATAAAATAATTATGAAAGTTAATTTAAGTTTACATAATATATAATAATAGCTCTTAAATTTACATCATCTACAATCTACACAGTCAAAAGTTGAACTAATGACTATATGAAAAATTATTTATAAAAAAAATGGAAGACATTTAGACATATAGTTAACATATTTTGAATGAATCAAAGGAAGTAATATGTCCATAAAATTCTATTTGATGATATATACAATTATTTACGATCCTGAGGGCGCATTAATTTTCAGTAACACAAATCGTTAGATTCAGAAACTATTAATATCGATAGTTTAAAAAAACAAAAAAGTGAATAAGCTGGTGAATTTTTTGTATCCAAAATGTTTCATTTATTGTTGAAGGATGGTTAAGAATACTTCTTGTAATGGGGAATTACAAACAATTTAAGACTTTTGAATTACTCGTATTAAATATATTTCCAAGTCGACAAAATATGTAATAATTTTATTGCATTTAGTTTATTTGTATATTTCGGCCAAAGATATTGAATAATTATAGATATAGTTAAATTATTTCACTAAAACAATTATTTTTTGTCATTAATTAAACTCTATTTTTTGTTTTACAGTTTATAAAATGACTAAATGCTAATAAATTATCAATGATTATTTTAGTGTATATAACATTTTCTATATGCATTTGTTCTTATAGTAGTAATCATATATAACAAACTATATTATTATGTATAAATTTAATGAGCATAATGACATTGGTTTTGATTTTTAAAAATCGTTTTAAGGTTATTATCACTTATTGGATGGAATGATTTTTTTCTTATTCCAATAAATTGCTGCATCGATGATGTTGGTACTTTGTAGAAAATCTACAGCGACAATGTTGAAGTTTTTTCCCCACTCTGGCTTGGCAAACCACTTGAATAGAGATTCATTAATTATCGAACTCATTTGTCGTAAACCATAACCTCTATTGAAAATAACGTCCAATGGAGTAGGAGTTAATTCAGCCATTAGAACTGTTACACCACTTTCGTTTCGTATTCTACTCAAATAATATCAATATTAGTGTAATATAATATTTAGTTTCAGTGTAAAGTTCTCAATAAAGGAAGAGTTAAAAAAATATATGAAATTAAATATTTCAAGATTTTTTTTTTTTTTTGAAATACACTATCAACATTATTTTATTAGTCGTTGCTCAAATTTAAATAATCCTATTAAATATATGTATTAACAGTATGATTTAAGATGTCTTACATATGGTCAATTTATATTTTTATGTAGAAATATGGAATTATTTGATGTATAAATATTATTTATTTATTTTTATATTTTAAAGTCTAACTATTTATTAGGTATTTTTAACTAGTAATTATAATTTTTTGGTCAATTAAAGTATATCTTATAAATGCTATTATTATTAATAAAGTTGGCATGTCTGTGAAATTACAACCTCCAAAAATATGTCTAAAAAACATAAAAGTTGGTGTGATTTTTAAATTAGTAAAATATTACATTATAAAATATGTTAACAATTATATTGTTCATATTTCATTCAAATTATTATAGTATAAATTTTATATGAATAATTTTTCACTAAAATAATACGTTTTATATTAGCATTTATGACACGTTTTAAAATGAAACCTGTTAACTTAAATCTAAAATTTTAGAAAAATGCTCAGCATTTATTTAAATGAACCTATCGTAAAAAACAAAAATGTTTAGGTACTTATACAAAACAAAATTGTTCATGTTTTTATTACGAACATTTTTAATTCGGTCTGTAAATTTTGCATGACCAAAAAAAGAAATGAATAAAAGTCATGAACATTCTAATCTTTGTTATTATTGTTGTATGTAGCCTATTATAGACTATAGTCATTTCATCTGATAATTTATAATATTTTAGTATAAAAATATGAGTTACTTTTTTAACCTTACTCATTCATATAGAAACGTACGTAGTCTTCAAATGACGTTAATTTTTGAGCATTTGGCCAATATCGAGGAACAGGTGTCCATAGGTTTTCATAATTAGTACATAGTGTCATTGGTAAATAGTTGTAAGCTATGATTACTCTATGTCCTTCAGTTTGTAAATCTTTTAACGATTTATGCCATCCCATTTTAGCCATGTGTTTACCCAAGTAAAATGTTATAAATTGATATAATTGAAGGTGCTTGGACAGATTTTTTGAAAAACCTGTATGGAATTTATGAAATTCGACAATGATGATTTCGTTTGTTGCTTCCACAAATGTCTTTATATCCTCAAGAACGTGTGATAAAGGTCTTACTGGATAAATTTCGTGATGTAGCCACCATAAATGTTCAGACTGATCATCAAAACCTACTCTTAAATCCAAGTATCGGGCTCCATGGCACAGTTGACTTAAAATATCAACATCCTAAGATGTTTTAAAATTAATGATAACAGTTGATAATAATTATAAGTTACAAGCAAAACAAAAATCCTAGTTCAAACTTACTTGAGTATAGACATATTTTTCAAAATAAATGGGACGTTTTTGCGTAGTATCATATGCTCCTGAGTCATGCGTACCTGGCAAAAACAACGAATCTAATCTTAAAGATTTGATATCGTCTGTCAATTTATCCATCCAATTAGGTTGATTCTTAAGACAGTTTGTTGCTAATACTATAAATGTAAAATACCAAAGTATTATTTATTTAAGTTAAATAAAAATGGCATAAATTGTTATATATATATTGCTTACACTTTTTTGTGTAAATTTTGGCAAGCAGTCGTTTTTTTATAGAACAACGTTGAATATAATTTAAAGTATTAATAAAAAGAAAAATATATTGAGTATATGACGAATAAAAATTTTAAAAATAGATTTATGATCAGCTTATTCATCCTATTTTATTGACTACGATTATAATCTATTCCATGATTCTTACATAAAGAAGTATATTACATACTGATTTGAAATTGTCGAAGTATGTAATAGCGTATATCAATAATTTATTGAAATTTGGATTACTATTTACCAATATAAATCTTCATTTTAATTTTTAAATAATATTACACTTTAACCATTTACTATATTTATGTCATAGTAGTCTGTTATATGTTAATGTAACATATAATAATGTATTATTTAATATAATATGATTTCGACAGCGAAAAATCAAAAAATGAATAAAAAATAAGACACTTTATAGAATAATTCAATAAGCATGATTACTTAAATTTTTTTCTTTTAATAATGAATTGGTTCTAATTCTAATTTTTAGAACTTTTAAGATCATGTTTTTAAATTCTTGAGATTTTTAGCATTACTTAAAGAGTGATCTGTGATGGTACAAACTTCTATTTTTCACTTTTTTACTATTAATTACCCGCTAAATAATTTGTAGTATAAAAAGGAAGTGGTTCTAATTTTAAAAACAGAAATTTTGGACTCCAAAAAATAGTCCTTTATTAAAAGAAAAAATTATTAACAATTTTAAAATAAAGTCTTTACGTACCTATACTTAGAAATCAGATTTTAAATAAATTTATTGTTAAAAAAATCGAGGGGGTGATCATGTTTGGTAAATCGAATTGTAATAAGGATTTATTGGTTTTAGTATACTTTAGTTTACGTTCAAGTCGACGTATCGATAAGTATAGTTAGACTATAAGAATGCCTTAAGCATACTCACACGTGTCAGTCTCGCCACTAACGTATGCCACCCAATAATCGAAACAATGGCTATTAAATTGACCGTCATGGCAAAGTAGCTGTATGGTCTTCATGCGCACTGTCAGATCAGTTTCTAACCAGCCAGAAGTGGTGTTCACCAAATACTTTCGAAGTGCCATCTTGGTGGGAGTTTGAGAACGGTTATGCGCTGGGTCTGCGCCAAACACTCCGACCCAGTCATTTGGATTTGTAGACAGCACTTGCCACGACACTGCTATACGCTTGCCCCCTTGTTGCTCTATGTCTGGCATTACCGTCAAACTAACATAATTATGTTCAAAATCGAAATCTGATGATCCTGAAAAATCCATTAACTTCGACAGTCATAGTTTATAACTAATAAACCTTACCATAATAATATCGTGTATTTGTGTGGATCAAAATATTATGAAATACAAGACTAATGAATGCACGACAGCCGTGTACCTAAATTGCCTATTTAAAACGCCGCGTGACTATAGTATTATACATTTTTGTATTGGACATCAATAAACGCCAAAACAAAAAAAGTGGAAAAGTCATGTCAAACGTGTGCAATGGTGTATTTAGGAGCGGGCCTTGATCTGAATTTGTATATAATAAATCAAATGTATTAAATCAAGAAAAATTTATGATTGAAGTAAACAATGTTTTTATAACAACTAATAAATTTTAAGTAGGTAACGAATAATTTACTCAATTCTTTTACTATGCGAGGGTAAATAATAAAATAATAAATATAGTAGATTTTTGAGCAGAAGTTGGGTTTTGAGTTTAAATTTACCAGTATATGATATAATTTATCACTTAGTAGTATAAACATTTTATAAGTAGAGGAAACTTATTTAATGCAAATAAAATTATGTCAGTGGATTTACTCTGTTTAAATTCTTTAAAACATTAAAATGTAAATTACATATTTTTAACAGAGTAATTTATATAGTTTTCAATAAATTAAAAATATTGTTTTAAAATTATATACAATTATGAAAATGACTTTTTTATTTTATTTAACCAATTGTAATCCTATACAAACAAAAAATTATTTGTTTTTTAATCAAACAAATTCCCGTATGAGCACTTAATTTAAATTCTTGATTATAAGATTATTAATATACACGGTTTCGGACTGCAAATGTGATGGTCTTGACTGTGAATTGCTTACACACACACACACACACACACGCACGCACACACAACCAATTTTTTATATAAATATAATATACAGACGTACTTAAATGTGTTTGTACTATTTGTGTATTTCAATAATTGGTGTTTTATCTATTATTTTCATTGTTTTTTTGATGTTTTCAGCTAAGCTATCAAAAGCTTATTGATTGTATGTAAATTTATCATGGAATTAAATGCTATATAACTTGAATCTATAATATAAATAATATGAACGTTAATAACAGAATATATGAAGCAACGGAAGAATACATTATAAAATACACACACATTTTATAATTTATGATATTTTGAAAAAAAAAGATGTATGAACAGACATGTCAATAAAGGTTGTGCAGGTGAAATATGTGGAATATACGCACCAACTTTTTATCAAACTACAGCTTCTATGACATGTCACAAATGAAATTAAATCGTCGATCCGTCACTATTTTACGTTTATATTAAATTTGAATTCTTAAGTCGATATTTATTATTTTGTATTTTATTTTTTTTACTAATTAAATACAAATGCCAATAAAAAATGAATTAGAGAAATATACTCATTTAATATATTATAAAAATAATTCTTACATGGTACAATGACATGATATTGTTGTCCGTACAACGTTACGAAATTGAAATATAAGAGAAGATAAGTATAAAATGATTAGGTTTTAAATCATAAACTATTGTGGTCTGATTATGATTTTGAAATTATCGGTAGCTAATCATTTTGGCACCAACTATAAAAAAGCTGAAATGATACGGCCGTGTATAAATACAATATAAACTATAAACCGCCAATGAATAACGATCGGTAATAGGTCACATACTATATTATAACAATATATCATAATATTATGCTAATGGCTGATCGCATATAAAATTATGGGACGTACCAAAAGTTTACTGGCTGACCTTCGAAATAGGTCGGTCACAAGACTGACATACTTACATTAAAATAAATAATATACACAGCTGTTGCCACTATTAGTTCAATATTATACGACGTACTAAAATAATGACGACGACGGCAATAATATTATTTTGCAACTCGTGCACGTCATCGCTGTACGGACACTGTAGTACAGCTGAGCACAGACACGCGATGGTCGTGCTCGGGGCAGCTTTCGAAATATAGTGGATGAACCATTCTACATGGCGCTGAACACGGCCAAGTGAGCTGCACTAGAGCGCGCGTACTTAATGCTTTAACTGTGTCGTATCGATAATTAAACGTTATTATATTATGATATTGTGATCGGAATAAAATATAATAGGTATTTTGTAATCGTATCCAACGAAAACTAAAACCACTTTTGCCCGGTCTCTCGTTTTCCCAAGCTTATGGAAATGAACCACAATAATCGTTGATATAATATGGTATGATGGTATTATATCAATTATCAATATGTTTTTTTTTCAAGGTATTATTATTAACTCACCTTAGGCATTGAGCCGGACTCTCTCGTCTATTATTTTACTTCTAAATCGAAGGCCTTAATGATAATATTAATAATAGAGACGTGTGAAATAATATTATGGACACGTATCTCAATGATGTATTACTTGGTAGTGCTTATCTACTTTCTATCTATATCTAATTAGAACATGACTAATTAGTAGTTATTTAAAAATTAATTGACATTATTCGTATTAACTGTATTTAATCTATTTTATATCGAAAGTTGTAATCTTAATTAATTTTTATTATAAAAATGATGTGTTGGATATTAACATTTACCAAAATTAATAAAAGCATCATAATATTATAATATTTATGTTAGGTACAATAAAAAATAACTAGTTAAATGCTATATATATATCACCGCTTATATAGTATTTTAATAATAATGGTAAAAATCGACTATAAATATCAGGTCGATTTTATAATATCACTTAAAAATAATAATTGTAATTGTTATTATTATGATGCAATTCAATTGGTTGTTATTTGAGTAATATTATATTCAACTAAATCTTTATCTCAAACTAAGAAAATTAATAATTATTAATTTTATTTATGATTACCTATTTAACTAATGTCTTTATCATTCAATAATAATATATAAGTTGAAATCAAATGTTTAAATGTACATTTTGAACTTAAGTCTTTTCTTATATAAATTTATAGATTTTAAAATCAATATGACAAAAGCACAACAATATAGGTTATTATTATATATATATATATATTATATATATTTAAATATAATCTTAGTATCAGTATTTAAATTGACTATCTAGACGTTAAAATTTAAGTTAAATATTAATACATTGAAGTCTACGCATATTTTTAATACTTTAAATATTATATGCATTATGTTTTTCTATGGTAAACGATTATCGATATTTACTACAACATTTCTTAAATTTTATAAGATTCAAAAAATAATTTTTTTTAGTTTTCAAACAGTTTTAATTTTTTCAGCTGGAACTTTTTTAAAAATTTAATCTGTTATTACCTCAATGCAACATATTGTATAGTGTCTTCTATCAATAAGTTATGTTATGAGTTATAATACATTATAGTATTTTACAATTTACTATAATCATTATAAATTATTACTGTAGCTTGGTTACAATATATTTATAAACTTTGTACATCGGGTGTCCGGCTGCATATTATCAAATAAATAAATAAATTACTGTAGTAGTTTATTATAATAATATTGTATACTGCTAAAGGCTGTATAAATTAGAGTTCATAGATTAAGTACTTTTAAATTATAATTGATTTGAAAATATGATGAGTATGAATACCGATGTTAGATATATAATACTATGTATTATATCATATGTACAGCTCAATGTATTCAAAAGTCGAATACCTTGTAATTGCTTTAAAATGTAAATATTTGTGATTATAAAATATATTATTATTTATTTATTCAAAAGAAATAACAACTGCCGTCAAGTAAGTACTCATCACAATAATTACATTAAAGTCCAGTATTTTTTTAAAATATTACAATAAAAATTTTAACTTATAATTTATTTCATTATTGGCGGTTAGAATATCACAGCTTAAACAAAATTTCCTACACCTAATTTTTTTAATTATTTATTTATTTATTTATGTATATGACATTTTCGGCTTATCAACAATACAAATAGTAAAATTTATTACAAAATAAGCTAACTAGTAAAAATAAAACATGTAGGTAACATTAAAGTAATGGTCAAAATAATTAAAAATGAATCAATATTAGTGGTGGTGATAATAATAATAATAACAACATTAACAGCAGTAACTATAATAAATGGGTAACTAGTAAGAAGATATCACAAACGTATAGTAAGTTCGTCGTGTCACTTGGCGGCTGCCGAGCTACCCACGTGCTATTTGACTAACCCTCCTTCAAACTTTATATTAGGGCATGACTATTTTTTTAATAAACTTTGTTAACGTTTTTAACGTTTATAATAGGTACACTTAGTTTGTAGACTTATAAAAGTGTGCAGATTTTGGATGCAACCTTATAGCTGTATATTATTAAATTTCATATGGTGATACACTTTTCGATAAAAATCATATTCTTCCCTTTTTGGCCGGCAATAAGAATTTTATATTTATTTTATATTATACTTATAGAAAAATATTAAGATATTTTATAATTTTTATCATTAATTATTTTATCGGTGGTCGTTAAAGTGATTGTGAAAGAAAAGTCATAAAAGTATATGATATATTAACTTAAAAATTATGTTACTATATTTTAATAATTTTCAATATATATAATATTAAGTAGATATCGACCGAAAAATAAAGAGTACAATTTTGGTTGAAAATGGATCTACGTTTTTTAAGCGTGTTACTTACCTTTAGGTATGAATAGTAAATGTATATAGTATAATCGACATTTTGGGTAAGTATTTTTATGATCAGTTTAAAGTAATGATTCTTTTTTTCTTAAACACATTGTTATAACATTTATTTTAAACAAAATGTGTTTAATACAATATTCGTCACTCACTACAACGTAAATACTTTACAATATGTTTATTTACTCAAAATATAAACACGCCTCATCGGTCAATTGATTAATATATTGAAAATCATAATCACTCAGACTAGTTCAAACTGATATTTTTTTGACCACCGGGTCGACGACATTCGATTGTATCGGATAACGCCGGTCACGGGGATGAAATCGAGATTGTGGAGAGCGGTATAGTTATGGTGAAGGAGGCTGGTCAAGAACACGACATGTTGAACATATAACGTACATTATATACATTTTTTTTTATCTTTTTATTCTTCTCCTTTTGCTGCTCGTCCGTATTTAATCTACCGCCACCGCCCGACATGATCCGGCAAATTATAACCTCTTATTTATTTGTATATACATATTTAATAATCAGCTCATTTTATTCTACACCATGTCTCACCGTCATCGTAGCCGAATAGAAAAAATATTTTGTTTGCCTGTGCGTGAACTCGACGGATAATAATAATAAACATATTCACACAAGTCGTCTCATTGTCGTCCGACTGTATTCTCCTGGGTGTGCCGAGAACATCGCATAACTAATATTATATTGTATTATATTATATTATATTATTATAAACTTAGATAGTACATTTGAAATAGGTGTTTCTGTGACCGTAACGTACTGTATATAATTTACATTTGTACATTTATAAATATTTCTAGGAATTGAAATTAATAAAATGGCGAAATAAACACATTTTATGTAGTTGCAATCTAACTTTTATATAAAACTTAAGGTCTTATATATCCTTCCAATAAATTTTATATACGTCATTATTTTATAATTTATATAAATTACAAGCATCAAGCATCGTTTTGGGAAGTATATATGAATAACTATTATATCAAGTTTTAACCATCGAGTGTAGTTTAATATGAAATTAATATTTTTCACTTACCTCGTCCGCCAATTGTCGTCACTTGCAGTACAAGTGAGATCAAAATCCACCAAAAATGCTTGTTCATCGTGTTCTATGGTTACTATATATTATTTATTCATACGAAACGATGTTAAATTTTGTTGTATAATATGATTAGTGCTTTTCGTATACTAAGATATATCGACTCGTATATTGTGAGACTGCCACGGTGAGAAAAGCGCAACTATAACTTTGGTGTATAACTAACATAATAGACTTAAGGTAGATAATGTATACGTTGATATATTACTTTAATGTATATGCTCCATGAGGAATAATAACATGAAACGAGTGTGGAAGGGAAAAGAAAACAGTGTTTTTAACATATGGTGTTCTAATACAATGTTGTTTTCTTTCAAAGCAATTTTACCATAATATTTTTTTTTTTTTGTGTTCTATACATTAATTATTAGATAAAAATTAACAACTACAATTATTTTATCTTATTATTGCTACAAGGAACCAAAATTATGTACATATATAATATATATATATATATATAATTTTTTAACCCATTGAAACGCATAATATTTTTGGTAATATCGTTATAAGCACATCTAATTTTATCGAATAAATAGTTATAACATTAAGTAAATGGACGGTCATTATTTTTAGTTAAACAAAAAATAAATAATAAATAAATAAAACATAAGAAAAAATATACACACGATTAAGTGTTACTTATATAAAATAAAAGTAGTATAAATGGAACATAACAAACATCACAACCTTTAGCCTTAATGAAAATCAATCACATAATTATATATACAAATATATATGTCACACCCATTTTGTGAAATCCTTCTTTAATTGAAGTGGATATATTTTTTGTAACTATACAAACCGTGAATATACATTTTTCTACCCGACATGAATGATCAATTATGCGCATAATGTTATGAAACAACATTTATTTTTATAAAGTAGTTTATAGGTAAGTTTTCATGAAATTGAAAGTTTATTATATAAAAATCGTGGACAATTTTCATGATCTAAACGTTTGATTTTGAAAACCTATTAAACATTACTATTTTAGAAAATACCTAAAAGTAAGGACTGACAATAATATATTATAACGTTTGATTGTTGGTAATAAATTAAATTATTCTTATATATTTTATCTGTTCAAATCATTATTATATATATGTATTATACACTTTTTTTTTTTAAATTTAAATTAAAAATGTAGTGTACAAAATGTACATCTGTTTCGTAAAGTGGATAAAAATAATCATCTATGAAGTGTAAAACAATGTTTTATTCACGATATGTGGATACTTTTCACTAAATGAATATGTCAATTATATTTAATATGTAAACAAAACAAAATAACTTACAATTTAAAAGTTAACAAGTCTAAATAGCCCTTATATATTATTTAATAAGTTAAAAATTTATTTATTCTATCGTATAATTTCATAAATTAGCTATAACTATAAGGACTAATATGCAGCTATTATAATATTGTATATTAGTGTTATATTATAGCGATGAAAATCAGGGGTAGCAATAAAGGTGGGTTGTACATCATTATATAATATATATATTTATGTATAATAATATACATGGGTATCTAACATAAAGCTTCATTCGTATAAAATATTTTATTATGTATGAATGTATAAAAAAAATTGTCAAGAAAAAAATTTTTAAAGAATTATATATTGTATTCATCTATCCGTGTTTGTTGTAGAATGTGCTCGGGTTAGTGCCGCTGTCCAATGTTCAGTTACATCTGTCAGTTAAATGAAGAACAAAAATAAAAAAAAAAATAAATAAATAAATAAAATAAATAAATGTCGGAATCCGAGTGTAAAAAAAACTTGTACATTACGTACACACAAAAGACAATAAATCTTTTGTTTCTCTTTTTTATTTTCCTTCTTTTTTTTTTTTCGTAAGATGAAATTTTGCAGTTTGAAATAGAATTGCATTTATAATGAAGTTTCGGTGTTTGGGTTTCTCGGAATCCCAGACAACAACAATATTTTTTTTAAGAAATGTTTTTCGTACTAACAATAATTATGTGTTTTTCGTATTTTAATCAACAAAACTATTAGTATTTATATATATATATTTACTGAAATCTCTTATAGCTAATCAAAATATTATTGAAATCTTAACTGGAGAATGTTTTCGTATGCTCAATCGCATTTTTCTTATTTACAAGGACAATTTATTATATGATGTAGGTACTGTCGTAATGAAGCTAGATTATACAAAACATGGTGCAGTCTGATGAAGGTTTCATGTTGAAATCGTGTTTTCAAAGGACTTAAAAAATATTATATTATCACGGGTAGATTGTGAAATAAATTTTAAGCATAATCGATTGAAACATAGGTCAAGTATAAGGGCTAAGTAAAAATTGTAATTTGTTTTTAATTCTAAAAATAGATTGTTATTAATATTTACGTTTATATTTATATATTTAATTATTATGTAATATAATATAATAGAATATAATATATATTATTCAAAAAACATTTAATTACATAAAGATTTTTCAAAAATATTATTGATCTATTTTATTTAAAAAAATTAATTTATTTAATGCTTTTTATGAACTGCTTGACACTTGGTAGATATTTTAAAGAAAACCGCGGAAGATAGCAAAAAGAAAATTTTAAAGAAAAATTTTACAAGGATGTAATCATTCTAACGTAACAAGATCTATGTTTAAAATAATAATTGCTTTATAATTCAAAGGAAACCAATATTTAAAAATAATATATTGGCTATATTGAATTTACCTTTTAAATGAATTAATATTTTTGTAATATTCCAGCATCACATAATTTTAATAAAACGATTTTAATTACGTTTATAATAAGGACAATTTTTTTATATCTTTATGAATACTGCTGTTAACTCTATAATTAATATAGAGTATAATTAACTTATTCTAAATATATTTTTAATACCACATTTGTTATATTTTTAATGAATATTTGTGGTTGTAGATTATCGTGGTCAAGACCGCGTTACCACGATTTACTTACCGATATAATAGCATTGCATCGACGTCTCACTAGCTGAAATTATTCGTATCGTTTCTAATGGTGTTTTGTTTCTTTTTCTGTTTTGAATCTGCAAACAAAAATCCACACCCCCACCGTGTACTGTATACGATCAAACTGCAAAAAACATTAAACAATAATGATCGGTATAATGTCTATTTATAAAAAATAAACAATACATCGATAATATAATGTACTAAGAACATAATACGCTGTTAATTGTGTATTACGTCGTTCTTCTTTAGTTTATATAGTAATTTGTGAACAATTTCGACGAGCAAATAACAATAATAGAGCTATTGAAATCAATCGTATAATATGATTAATAATGAATAAGAAACCCCCGGAGACCATAAAAGGTATTTAATAAAATATGCAATATTTAAAGTATTTTGTATTGAAAACTAATAAGTGATAAAAAATTAATTTAATTATGCAAAGAAAAAAAATTAAAGAAATACATTTTTTATTTGAAATTTAACGATTCTGAACAAAACCTTGAAGAATTCAATAAAAGTTCACAATATTATTACTATTATGAAAACTTTAATTTTTAGGTTAAACGTATCTGAAAAGATTGTAGAAGTGTTTTAAAAGTTTTATAATACCATACATTTTTTTCTTTTATAGTTTAAAAATATAAAACTTGTATATCAACTGTTTTTAATAAATATTTAAATTTGTATAAAATATATCTAAAAAGTTTTAACGATAGTATTGTGTATGACAACATTTAATTAAAAAATTAAATACTGAAAAAACTTATTGCTATAAAATTTGTACGAGTCCATAATTTGTAAATTAATTGTACTTTTTAATTTTTTATGTAAAATTGAATTAACATGATTTTTTTTTATAAATTTATAAAGTTTCAAAAAAAAAGGTAGTTTTCTTATAAAGTTTACGCAATATATAACAATTTAAAATATTTACTCGTAATAATGATAAATGATAATTTAATATTTGAAAACTATTTAGAGGCTCAGTTCAGAATCGTTTTTCGTATACTGTGATTAATATTATTACTTTCAATTTCAAAATAATCATAATAATAATAATAATAGTATATTTATTTTTTTTTTAAATTATATTTTAATACATTTGGGTTAGGTAAAATAAAATTATAATTATATTTGTATAATATACTTAGTTACGATATGTCCAGTCTGTATCATTTAAATTAAATTTCCAACTAATTGTCATGTATCAATTGTAGTTTGAAGGTATCATATAAATAATTTATAACGCTTATCGATATTGTCAACAAAGTTTAAAGTTAAGTTTTTGTGAGTTTGTGTTATTATAAAATCCCGTGTTAGTAGAAGCTACTAATGATGTGAACCCTAAATTGCGTTAGTAAAAATATATAGTTATGTTATTAAAAGCAAAATTAAAATAATATTGTTAATAATCGGTATTTGTTTGTATTTTTTTTTTGTTTTGTTTTTTTTTTGTTTTTTTTTTTTTTTTTTTTTTTTTTTTTTTTTAATAATAACTTTACCTTTTGTGTGTTTGGGAGCGATTCAAATGACTCGTCCAGTTCATGTGTAAAATGTACGTAACAATTGTTGGGATAAATAGTTTTTTTACACATCATTCACCCGCCACTTCCGAAAAAGGGGTAAAAAGCGAAAATAAAACATAATGCAGCGGTTGATCGTTGGCTAAAAAAATTATATAAATTTGTTTCGTTCCTCGGTAACTGTATCGCAGTATAACTTGGCAAAGAATATAGGAAGCTTATACCACACAAACGTACCAAAAAAAGAATTCGTAAAAATAATAATAATATTAATAATAATAATAATAATAATAATAAATAATAATAATAACCAAGCGAAATAAAAAGACTGTTCACCGTTTTTTTTTATCAGAATACTGTACAAGTCATTTTATTTACACAATAAAGTATTATCAAAAATAAATAATTAATAAAGTATAAATAAATAAATTAAAAAATAATAATTATAATCCGCAAAATTATTCGTGAATTTGTTTCAATTTTACACGTAAGTAAAATTCATATAGGAGTTGTGACTAGATGTAAGTGATCCAAAATAATAATTATAATAATAATAATAATAATAATAATAATAATAATAATAATAATAATCATAATCATAATAATAATAATAATAATAATAATAATAAATAATTTTTGATAAAAAAAAAATTTATAAATAATATACAAATGGTATATTATGTACATAAAAAAATTACTTTGATTAAAACACTTTTGGCCCAGAAAAAAATTTTACTAAATTTAAAAAAAAATCTTTGGTAAAAATTTTGAATAAATTTCGATAATTTAAAAAAAATAATATATA